CTCCTGCTGATTTCAGGTGGTATATCAGTATGTAGTGTCTCTACTTTAAAGAGTCCTCTCCTGCTGGTGTATATCAGTATGTAGTGTCTCTACTGTGACATCCATGCTTTAATGTTCAAAAAGCTCTTTATTTTTCCTCTTTTCACCCTCCGTCTGAAACCAGAGCCCAGTCTGCTCTGATTGGTTAGCTAGCCGGCTCTGTTGTGATTGCTTAGAGATGTCCCGCCCCTTAGCCTATCACGTACAATGTGTTGGAGCGCTAGCCAACACAAGCGTGAGGGTTACATAGTGATGTCACTAGGTTCGGGAGGTAAACAAAGGAAGTCCAATGGAGGCGTTTCAGGCAGGGGGGCGGACAGAATATTTTAGCCGCTGCAGACCATTTACATATCACATATATACCACATAAAGCACAACAAGGGCCTCCTTTGTATTAGAATAACAAAGAAAGGAGCTCCTGCAGAGCGTGCTGCAGCAGCAGGACATTAGGCGTAAATAACTGAGAGTATTAGCGTCCCTCCCTGCCTCTGATCGGCTCTCTAATTAAAGTCAGGTGAGTCTGATTATTATTCTGAGAGCGTGTGCAGCCACTCGGTGATGGATTGTGATCTCTCTGCGGCTGAAACGCTAGAAAGAGCACAATGTCTTACAGCGGGAGCCACTGATAACTTCACGCAGACAAATAAAGACTGTCACTTTTATTGATTTTCACCCCCACACCCCCCCCTCCACCATATACACCCACACCCGCTGCTCCATCCCTGTCTGTGTTTTAACCCCCCTCCCTCCTGCACACCTCCATCCCATCAAAGCCCCCCTTTAATGGGGAGGCGTCCAACAGCAGGCACGGAAAACGTTCCTACTCTCAAAGTGTAGCACATAGGAAGATGTTTAGGGTGGCCGAGGGGCAAACAATGGGGAATTCTTTGCTTTAAAGGCAGGTTTGATTTTAACCAGACAATTCAAACATTAAAAAATAGAGACAAGGATATTAAGAAAATACAAAAATAATAGGTTGACTCCTTGTCTGTCTCTCTTGCTAAATAAACGTGCATACTGTATATACAGGCATAACAAAAAAACACTTTCAAGATATAAAATCATTGTGAGAAGATGTCAAATAAATACAAATTACTTATCATATTCATCCGTAGTTAATCCCCCAAGTCTGTTTCTCCTTATAAATAAATGTGTGTTCTGTACATACAGATATAAAATGATAAATAATGAAAAGCAATCAGGGTTTTTTTTGTAGCTCGGCAAGTCAAATGTTTTTAAATAACACACAAGGCATTGAGAAAAGATAATATGAAATGAAATGGGTCATCGGAAATGTCATCAACCTTTAGGAAGTGGAATACAAATTGTGATTTATTGGATTAAAAGGCAAGTTTAATTTTAACCAGACAATTCAAACATGTTTAAATAAAGGCGAAACAAAAAGGCATTAAAAAAGATAAAGGAAAGAAATAGTCCAACATGTGAGGGTCCTTTTATCCCTCTGTCTGTTTCTCCCTCCAGATAAACGTGTGTACTGTACTATCAAATGTTAAATAAAGTCAGCAGGATGGAGGTGAAATTGTCTCCTAACAGCGTGGCGGCGGCACATAACGAGAAATGCAATTTATTCGTGGGCACGTTGCTGCTCGGACAGCCACATAATGAAAGGCATAGGTCATCGACGGAGACTTAAACCTGCAGCGGCGGAGAGAAATACATTAATAAATATCCACAACATTACTCCTAACCCACGGAGGGAGAGGGGGGGGGGGGCTCCTTATCAAACACCAGAACACAATTAGTGTTGGAGCCTCCTGCAAATCATAATATCCCCGATCATTGACATGTGAATACCCATTACAGCCGCCCTGTGGGAGGAAGGTGAAGCGTGCCGTCACTTTCACTCTGCGGGCCACATGGGAGACTTTATCGTCTGTGGCATACATGTGAGAGCAGGAGAACACTTCTTATAAATTAAATGATGTGTGGTTTGCAGAGATCCACAGGTATGGAAGGAAATTCATAACAAATCTATACAAATATCTGAATCTGTGTCTGCTTTTAAAGAGGCTCTATTTGGCTTGTTGGGTTTTCTCTTCCTTGTAGTGTTTTGTGCATGCATGTAAATCAGGGGTGTCAAACTCAATTTCATCGCGGGCCACATCATATGGTTGCACTCAAAGGGCCGGTTGTAACTTTAAGACTATATAAAAATACATGTATAAATATTTAATATATATAACATAATGTACATGATTGCATCTGCATTGGATTATTTTCAGATATGGTAATAACTTCATAATTAACTACGTCTGAAAGCAGAAGTCTAGGGCCAATAATTGCAAGTCTCTTTAGTGAGAATGTCACAAAATGATTTAAAAAGAAAAGCTAAATTCTGGAAAAACAAAAAAAAAGGGACATTTTGAAAAAAAGGCAAATTCTAAGAAAAAAGGCAAATTGAAGATGCATTGTGGGACATGTAGTTTATGGGCAACGTGCTTCTGTAAAGTAGCATGTAACCGTACAATAAACATATTATATTCTTTGCAAGCTCTTGTGGGGCCACACTTCCTGAACATAATGACATCACTTTGAAACATTTGCGTTTCCATTGGCTAGCGCTCCAACAAAATGTACATGATATAAGGGGCGGGGCATCTCTAAGCGGATGACCAATCACAACAGAGCTGTCCAGCTAACCAATCAGAGCAGATCTGGGCTCTGGTCAAAACATCTTCAAAATATAAATATTTGTTTTTATTTTAATAAAACTTAAACATTTTAAATTACTTAAATGTCAACAAATATTTTTCTCTCAAAAACCTGTTTTTAGAAAAACTGTTGGCTACTTTAATGTACACCAAAACATCATATTTTATAAACCCTAAAAACATCATATTATATAAATTATTTTGTATCCAAATTCATTCATTTGAAACGTTACTTTATGTAATAATGAAAACATAAAAACTCACTACAGTTTACTCAATGCTAGATTAAATTAGGTCTGTTCTCAACCTGTAACAATACTTCTGATTGTCTGTTGGAGCCATTTGCTAAATCACCCTGTTTACGTGTTACCTTAGCAGAGAGCAGGTGTAAAATATATATTGATGTATATAAACATACGTCGGTGAGGTTATCCATTAATGCTCTGAGAGACGAGGCTGGTCAATAACACATCTCACAGCCGGTGAACGGGCATGAAAGGCGCCAATTATTCTGCACAAAGAAAAAATAACAGTGCGGGTGATTCTCAGAGAAGTAGAAAACACTTGGGGAGTATTTTCTCCATAAAGAGGGACTCTACTCGAACACAAACACCTACATACTCAGACAATTGGTGCCATGTGGGGGTTCAATTTGTATTAGATATTCTACTTAACCCTCCTGTTGTCTTCCGGTCAAATCTGACAGATTTACTACTTTCATCAATCATAACTTTTTAGTTTTACATTCGATTGCATTAAGGCTTCATGATATCCTTCACAGTAGACCTTTGAACATATACAATTGCTGATCACCACTTTCATTGCATTTTGGATGATTTAGTCAACTTTGTAACACCATGGTGTTCCCGCTCAAAATGACCACCATAAAGAATTAGTAACCATCCGGATCAGATAAAACACACACACACACACACACACACACACACACACACACACATAGGCCTACTCTAGATGTGCCCCCCCCCCCCCTTATGTGCCCAATCCCCCCATGTGAATCGCACCTGGCACACACAAACACACACACACACACACACACAGAACAATTTGATACATTTCCCGCTCTTATGTGCCCATCCCCCCACATGGATCACACCTGGCACACGCAATACATGTTCAATGTCTGTTCTTTGTATATTGACTGCAGTTCTTCATGTGTACCAGTAGTCTGATGCAATATGTACAGTTTGAAAGGGTGTTAAAGGAAATTTGGTGATGATTAATGTTTTTTGTGTTAATGTAATAGCAGTTAAAACAGGACCGGTCAAACACCAAAGTAAGGGGGGGGGGGGGGTTTATTTGATTTGATTACGTACAATATCGGCTTCCTAAATGTAGTGGATTAAGAGTATAAAGTAGCATCAAACGGCGATACTCACTTAAAGTACTTAGAAATTGTACTTCCGATTTGTATTATTCTGGTGGTGCGAACATAAACAATCTAAGAAAATAAGTTGCAAAGTAAGTAGAAAAATAAATATATTAGGATAATAATAAATAAGTATTGTTAAGAAACAATTTAGCATTCAAAAAGGATGCTAAAGACAAGTATTCACACCAAATTAAAATGCAAACTATACAAATAACCTAAAAAGCAAAGCACTTAGGACAATGAGTATACGGCAAACTACAGTGTATTATATTTTATACAGACACGTGTGCAAAAATGTGCAAAAAGCAAGTGGTATACTTTGTCCTTTTTCACATGAAGTAACATTTCCCCCCCCGTTTTTCCCCATCCTTGCAGCCGGGGACCATCCATACGAGTGTGAGTTCTGCGGGAGCTGCTTCCGGGATGAAAGCACGCTGAAGGGCCACAAACGCATCCACACCGGGGAGAAGCCCTACGAATGTAACGGCTGCGGGAAGAAGTTCAGCCTCAAGCACCAGCTGGAAACTCACTACCGCGTGCACACAGGTACGGAGAGCAAAACTCAAAGTCTGCACGCTAAAAGACAACTATCTGAAGAGTTCACTGATGTGTATCAACTGATGAGGATGATCAAAGGTTTGGGAAGTGTTTGAGCGAGTTATGTGCAGGAAATATTGATTTAGGAACAGTTTATCCTTCTGCAGAACCTGGAGTTATAGTATAGGTTGCCAGATATGAGCAGAGGTTTTAGTTTTTGTGTGTTCATGGTACCAAACCTTGCAACCTTACGGCCCGTCCACACGGCGGCGTGCGTTGAAGCTTCAACGCTTCTGCCCGTTCACTTTGAATGGGGTGACGTCACAATTTGCCGAACTGCATTGTGGGAGCGTCGCTTTGCGTTGCTCGCTTCAAAAGTTGAGCAATGTTCAACTTTTGAAGCTTCGGCGGAAGCGTCAGCCAATCAAATCATATGCCAGTACAAGCTCTAGCCAATCAAACCGCTGCTTGTGTGTCCGGGGCGGGAGATTCATGTGATTGGTTGTTGGTCGAGTTTCAGACACGCCCACCGGCAAGCTTCAACGCACGCCTCCGTGTGGACGCAGCGTTACTGTGAATAAAGGCAAGGCGTTTACTTACAATATACATTTTCTTTTCAAGTGTTTTACAAAAAAACATTAACGTACCAGCGGCGACAGCAACCGTAGTTAAAATATGGCAGCACTGATAGAGGTTTTCTGTAACCATCCAAAGTATTTTTAATGTGTAATTGAACTGCTTCTGTTAAGGTAAACTGATCACACTACACATGTAGAATATTGGAATTAGCTAGCTTGATAGGAGTTAGATGTTAGCATGTAGTTAGCCAGGCTAGCTGTTTCCCACTGCTTCATGCTAAGCTAGGCTTAACATTCCTGCTCCGTAGTTAGCAAACAGAGAGGAAGCTGATATTAATCTCTTTGCCATCTAGAAAGAAAGTCGGTTAAAACACTTATCAAAAATCTCATTGTGTAGTTATTTTATGAATGCAGCAAAAGTCAAGTATTTTGTCAAAAATGTCGATATAAATTATTGTTCTTCATATCGCCTAGTCCTGTGTTAGGGTTTTTATCTCTGAAATATCACTATTGTCACCCTCCTAAGAGATACAGTATATACAGGGGTATCAATAACACTTGATATCAGTCAGAAATCAGCCCATTCTTCCACTTCTCCTAATTTGATTTGAGTGCAACCTTCTATCTCATAGCAACCGCGTCCAAACACATTAATGCAGCTTTCTGTTGTAGGAAATCCTCGTTGCAAAGCCCAGATGAATATCTTTGTTGCTGCGATACAGTAGACGAATGTCTCCGAAGACTCTGTATTGATCTCAGTATATTTAGAGCCCCATAAAGATGTTGACACAGTGATAAGCCGGCTGCCCTGGAGAACGAGTGCAGACTGAGCGAGGATATCAAGCGATTCTCCCCAGAATGGCACCCAGCCAAGGCTTTATGCTTCCTCACCGTCTCTTTTCTCTCACACACACACACACACATCTCCCATTCAATAAGCCAGCTGTTAAGCCACACTATCAAGGCAGCCTGTCCAATAATTGGCTCCCCCCCGTCCACCCTTTTCCCCTTTTGTGTGGGGGAGGGGGCTTTGCGTTAAGCCGCAGAGCAACAGCAGATAACAAGAGCAAGTGACAAGCTCACAGTCAAAGGCCACCTCGCACAAAAGGGAGCTGCTTGATGAATCATCGACATTGGCAACATAACCCCCCCTTCCTTCGTCTCTCCACACATCCCAAATGCCAATGTCGGATCAATACCCCGGCCTCATTTGCAATTCATTATTAGCTGCTTATTTGCGGCGACCCTATTTACAGTCCGGTTATCAATAGCAACAGAAAGAAGGTGTCCGCGCTGTTTCAATGCAACACGACGACTTTCAAGATGTGTTTACGCCTATATTGGCTGAATGGAAGCTACATGAATGCATCTTTACTGTATGTCGTTGTTGCTGCGATATAGTAGATGAATGTCTCTGAAGACTCTGTATTGATCTCAGTATTCTTAGAGCGAAGTAATGCAGGTGTCCACGCTGTTTCAATGCAACACATGACGACCCACAACGCTGTGTTTACGCCTATTGGCTGAATGGAGACTGGATTATTGCAGCTTTCTGTGGTAGGAAATCCAAGTTGCAAAGCCTAGATGAGTATCTGTGTTGCTGCGATACGGTCGTTAACACTTTAATGGTCAGATCAAGTGTGAAATGTGACTTGCATCACAGCAGCTCCATGTGTAACATCAACAGACAAATATACATGCGAAACAAACAACAAACATTTAACATAATCACAATCGCTGAGAGAAACCTGCTCAAAGTGCATTTGATCTGGATTCAGCTCTGTGCTCACTGAGACGACCGACTGGAGCACAAAGGATGCTTCAGTCTGACTTTATTGAATCTCCATTAGATGGTAGCAGTCCATATTCTCTGTTCGACATGCTTTGGGTCCCAGATGATGTTGTTGGACATGTTATTATGGTATGCTAAGTCATTAAGTCTCTGACAGGGTTGACCAACAATGAGCAGATACAGCAGACAAATGTCTCCGACGACTCTGTATTGATCTCAGTAGACAGAGAGCGAGGTAATGCAGGTGTCCACGCTGTTTCAATGACAACCCACAACACGGTGTTTACTCCTATTGGCTGAATGGAGACGTAGCCGAGGCCAAGGTTAACCCTGTTGATCCAAAAAGGACAGGCACGAGTTTGCCAGTTTTCTTGTCGGCACACAAACCCGAGCCTCCAGCTGAAAGGTGACAGCGAGCGAGGCTAGATCACATCCGACAGCTCATTTCAAATGCCATTGGAAAAGGTCAGTATTTACATGTCTAATTTGCCGTCTGCCCGGCTTGAGCGCTGGTGGGTTATTCCCCGCCATCACTCAAATCATTAGCACATTTAGGACGGCTGCTGCTGTTGCTGAATTGAAATTTTTTTCCTAATATGGCAGCCCCCCCACAGCAAGAAAGCAGTGCCACGCTTTGATTTATGACACCTCCAGGAGATCTCCATGAAGGGAGCGGGCGTTTTGTGTAATGTGCCAGATTGATTAAATGTGGCTTTAAAAAGGAATGGCAGATATTTAAACATCACATATTCTAAGGGGTTTAGCACATTTAGATGTTGTGTTTATTCCTCATCTCAGTCACTGCAGGTTGTGTGAGTATTAACACATTTATTGCACTAGGGATGTGCTTGTGCCACTGAATTTGAATATTTGTAGTGAGTCTATACAAGCGTTAACGGTAGCAACTCTACAGTTTACGCACGGCAAAAGCTGCCGTGAAAATGCGATGTCCGTAATATAGTCAAATCCTAATTGAACGCTTTGGAAACAAGTCATAGTTCGGATTGGCCAACACAAATAGTTGTTTTGTTCGCTCTGGGCACCTGTACCGTAACTGTAGAGTTGTTTAACACACACATCCTTATTATTTTCTAAGGTAATGGCATGGACAGGCGCGCTGAAAGGAAACATCCCAAAGTGGTTGTTAACGAATGTTGACACACTGTTGTGTAGATTTGTATTGGTATTAGTACTTTTACGGCTCAGTGAAGGCACTTTCTGTTATCCACAGCTTTCTACAGAAACGCTGATCAAAATAGCCTCACACAGAGCACCACAGCAAAACACACGCCAAGCATGAAGAAGAATTGGTGAAGCGACCTTGGGTTTATGAAAGGCACTATTGAAATGTATGTTATTTGTATTATTATTATTATAGGTTGGCGAGATAATTGAAACTTAGACGTAAGGCGTAACCGTTGTCTCCGACCCCACTCTTTATCATGGGCAGAGGTTGGAAGTAGTGGAGTACAATTACTTTATTACTGTACTTAAGTACATTGTTCTGGTACCACTACTTTACTCCACTACCTATGTTGAACACAAATACCTGTACTTTCTACTTCTTACATGTTGAACTGAAATACCTGTACTTTCTACTTCTTACATGTTGAACTCAAATACCTGTACTTTCTACTTCTTACATGTTGAACACAAATACCTGTACTTTCTACTTCTTACATGTTGAACTCAAATACCTGTACTTTCTACTTCTTACATGTTGAACACAAATACCTGTACTTTCTACTTCTTACATGTTGAACACAAATACCTGTACTTTCTACTTCTTACATGTTGAACACAAATACCTGTACTTTCTACTTCTCACATGTTGAACCCAAATACCTGTACTTTCTAGTTCTTACATGTTGAACTCAAATACCTGTACTTTCTACTTCTTACATGTTGAACACAAATACCTGTACTTTCTACTTCTTACATGTTGAACTCAAATACCTGTACTTTCTACTTCTTACATGTTGAACTCAAATACCTGTACTTTCTACTTCTTACATGTTGAACTCAAATACCTGTACTTTCTACTTCTTACATGTTGAACACAAATACCTGTACTTTCTACTTCTTACATGTTGAACACAAATACCTTTACTTTCTACTTCTCTCATTTTCCAAACAGCTGGTTCCTTTAGTCTGAATGTGTGTTTGGTGCGTGATCATTATTCTTTAGAGTCATTGCGTGCCTATTGATTTGAACACGATCCGTGTATCCATCATTTCCTGGTCTTCTCTAAAGAAGAGGGACCAATGGAAACGTTGTCATGTTGCCGTTGTTCAGCATGGAAACATTCATTAGCTAACAATGACATTATTGTTCTATTAATATAAAGGGAGGTCAGGTACTCTTTAAAGCAGCTGCTAGTTATGGGTACTTTTTACTGAAGTACATTTCAAAGCCTCTTTACTTTCACTTGAGTAAAGAAGTTTAGTCAGTACTTCTACTTTTACCAGAGTATTTTTAAACACGAGTATCTGTACTTCTACTTGAGTAAAGGATGTGTGTACTTTTGCCATCTTAGGTGAGAAGCCACATCCTGTCACTGAGCGGCACTTTGTCTAACGTACCCCACTCTTTATCATCCGTAGGTGAGAAGCCATTTGAGTGCAAGCTGTGCCACCAGAGATCCAGGGATTACTCGGCCATGATCAAGCACCTGCGCACCCACAACGGAGCGTCGCCCTACCAATGCACCATCTGCCTGGAGTACTGCCCCTCTCTGTCCTCCATGCAGAAGCACATGAAAGGCCACAAGCCGGAAGACGTGCCCCCAGACTGGCGCATCGAGAAGACCTACCTGTACCTGTGCTACGTCTGAGGAAGAGAGGAGGAAGAGGGGGGTGGGGGGTGAGAGGTAAGGGGAATGTAATCGGGAGGATAGGAGGCTAGGGGTCAACCATTTCTTTTTTTAGAGAGACCCCCCGAAAAGCTAGAAGGTTTGTTTTTCTCTTTTTTACTTTACATGCAAAAAGGCGGCGACGACGACCAGCTGTAAGGGTGGTGACGGAGTAGCTAAGTGCTAAAGAAGAGCAGAGGAAGACTTGGACACGGAGAGAGAGAATCTCCATCATAGTTCGGATTCACCGGGTCATTCACTACATCTGCAAACTGTGGTTTTGTTTTAGGTCATCGGACGCAGCATGCACAGAGGTGACTTTTTTTGTAATGCTGCTGCGAGAGAGAAAGCAGATTCTCAAGGGCTGTCTGAACCTGAACCGGCTCCCATCACTCCATCACGAGTGGTTTGTTGTTATACTTGATATTGGTTTACAATTACCCTGCAGTCATTATAGTTTAGAACAAGAGCATCGGTTTAGACCCCTAAGTTCATCATGTCATGGTTTGCTTTCAATGCCAAAACCCTTCCAACAAACCTTCTTTTAACCGCATACAAAGGTATCTTATATTTTCCAACCCGCCAAACAAACTAAATCATGACACGCTCCAGAGTTTGAATGATGGGTGGAAATGCCCCAAATCGTTTCCATTCCTAACATTTCTGCTTTTGCAGTAGACACAAATGATCCCAGTTTTTTTTTTTTACAGAAATCCAGCAGAGAAACATGTCAAGACTGTTGGCAGCGGTGGCGGTGAGATAGCCCCTGAGAATCTGAGACAATATGCAGTAGATGAAGCAGTTGAACTGGATGAATGGGAGCACTAAAATACTGGGAGGGTTGGGGGGGTGCTAGTGCTGCTTTCTAGTTTGAACTTTTCTCAGCAGTCTTCCTGGTTCTCCGTCGATGAGGCCTGGAGAACGTCGAGTCACCACTGGCCCACTTGTGTCACTTTTTCATCTTATATATGTTCTTAGCTCCGCATGGTAGTTCATCAAGGCTTGATCACAGGTAACAAATCACGACAACAGTCTTTGTTTGATGTCTTCAGAAATATATCTTTCATTAAATCATAACTCAATATTACAGTGTACCACATTAAACCCAGCATATCCGCCTACTCAATAGCAATAGATAACTGGACTGCTTTGTATCCATGTACATTTAACCTGATGACTATCATTATCTCACACTAATGATGAACTATACACAAACTAACACGTTAAGAACACTTGCAGCAGACCTGTCCACAGGGATGGAAAACAAAATGGGAAAAGGGTTGCTTCTCGTTGTGAATGTTTGAAGAAGTTGCTGGGAACACCTGAGCGTTTCCCAAAGATGGTGTGGCAAGTTGAAGACCGTTATATGTCATCAACACATGAATGTGAGTGACTGTGAGCCGGGTTCGAACGTGGCTGTCGTCAAAATACAAACCAGGGTTAATGCTGCCCTTCATTAGGAGTCAGGGGGTTATTACTCTCCATGCCTTCATGTGTCAGTGGAGTTTTATTTAGAAGAGTACCTCCAAACAACGGCCTTAACCCTGAAATTAGTCATTATTCAAGCACTTCTTCACGCCTCGCCTCAAAGTCAAGGCGTTCTTTGAATGTGTTTTTAGTTAGATGCCCTAAATTAGGTCTGGGGTTTAGATTTGTATGTTTTGTTCTATGAGATAAAATGAGTCAGTAAAGACCCCACTGATGAATGTCTAAGGCGTGTATGTGTCTTTAAAAACATCATTGTTATACGTTTCAAGTCTCAACGTCATCCCGCCAAACATTAGCCACCTTTAGCTTGGAGGTAGTTACGTGAAGTCATGATGTAGCTCCTTTATAGCCTCAAGTTAGCTTCTTACGTCTATTGATTGCATAACAAGTGTCATTTCTGCCACAGAGCTTATTTAATGCACTATTCCAAAATCCAGCAGTAAAATCTCATTGGCTTTTTGAGGAGGGAACCAGGGAGATGCTAACTTCAGGGTTAGCCTATAAAATACGCCATCAGGGCACCACTTTTGCCAATAGTTGAAATGGTGCATATACCAGTATGCATCGGTATTTGCCAAATGTCCAACTTTCTGACGCCACTGAGGGCAGCATTGGTCCCGGATGAGTGACGCAGCCACAGGTATTGAAGATGAACCTTTTAGCGCGCATGTCACTGCAGCACGGCGGGATCACATATCCAAACGGCCGGTGGAAAAAGGGGGAAATCACTGATCGGACGAGACACTGCCCGGCAGCCGAGCGGCTGTAAGACGACAGAATAAATCGACTCTTTCTCTTCGGTTTTCGTCCCCGCGCTTCGTCTCTCTCGTCTCCTGTTGATGTTGTTGTTGTTAATGTTGTTATTATCGACCTTGAGTTTGATCTCAACGCATCGTACTTGAATTACCTCGTTATGTGACCTCATGTTGCTTGTGTATTTGTTTTCCCTTTTTTGTTTCATTTGTACACTTTTTATTTGTGGAAAAAAAGATGCATTGCACAACATGATGCAGCGATGTGTACGCAGAAAAGAATAAGTGCCACGGTGAAGAGATTTCTAATGTTGTTGTATTTGTTTGTGCATTACATGTTACCAAACTTGGTATTATTAACCCCGCTTGTTAAAGAGTCGGTCGGTTTGGTCATTTGTTATAAAAGCTACCTCTAAGTTGTTTTCATTTTTTTGGCAAAAGCACATTTTATTTGTGTTTTGCATTATGTTATCATTGCTACTTCATCTCATGCTTATTTTTGGTGATTTATGATTGTCTGTGTTTTTTCTAAGCAAAATGTACATAAAAGTGGAAGCGAGTACAAGAGGTTGATGGGATTTTGGAAAGTCATTCAGCGAGGCGTTTATTCTTCTCCTTTAGTCTCCCCCTGCCCCTCCGGCCACAGAAGAGCAGAGCAACGTAAACAAAAAAAGCAATTTTGAAGCCTTAAGTGATGAGTTGGGAAGCGGCAGATAAGAGGAAGTACTATTGCTTTTTGAGAGGGGTTCAAAACAAGAATTAAAACTTGAAAATGTGTGAATACAAGTGTAGTTTTGTAATGTGAAAAAAAAAACGAAGGTTCATGACAAACGCTGAACCGACGAAGACAGGTTTGATTTGCAGCGATGCAGAGTGCGTTGGACAATTGGAACTGCAAGTGGTAATCAAAAAAGAAAAAACCAAGAAGGTTAAAGATAGAGATTTCTCTCATGAACGTATTCCTGAACAAGAGCCAACAGAGGCAATTTGATATATAAAAATGGTGATATTTTTGTATTCAGTGTCAGTCCTTTTTCCATTTGTGGAGGGTTACAGCAGGGCACAAATATTTGTATTTCTTTTATTTTGTACCTGTTTTAGTTTTCTCTCTATGGGTGTGAATCATGTTTGCCTTGCTCCCCTTTGATATTGTTGGACAAAAAAACGTGTGTGAACATATTGTAATAATAAGTGTTGCTTTCTTGGATGTCAATTGCATTGTAGGGTGAAGGACTAAAATCTATCCGCCACAAATTCTACGAGTGTCTGTGACAAAATGTTTAAAAAAAAAAAAAGATAAAATACGGCACGGCAGGGGGGCGCTGCCAAACCGACCAATTAGTACTTCACAACTTTTCAATCAAACTTGACTGTCAACATGTCTGTTGTTTTGTTTTTGTATTTGAAAAAAAAGAAGGGATGGCATGTCCCGTGGTGATTTTATTCTCAAACACTGTGAGCCGAGGGGCTTTTCCCCCCCTCGTGTAATATCCACCCACTATGATATACCGCGTCAGTCTGAACACCACAATGCAAGACCTGAGCAGTTATTCCTCTCATCGTCCTCTGAATGTTTTCTACTTTTTCGTGCGGGTGAAAGAGTGCGTTAAAGAGTGCGTAACTACGTGTGTGTGCGTGTGTGTATTAGTGGAAAAATGCACTAATCAGATCAGATACAAAATAAATATTCTATGCCACTTTTTTTCTCTATGTTGGAAAAAATATATATATACATTGGCATCGATATAGTTCTTCCCTCAGTGTTCCTCCGATGTTTTCTGTACTATCTTTGTGCCTAAAAATGGAATTTGTTCAACAAAAATGTCCATCTATATCTGCTTAGTTTCCGTATTTTTCAGAAGAAAATAAAAATGGTGTATCCAGCACACTAGGGATGTCATGACGCTCTTAGTTTTTTATTTTATTCGTTTCTAAATCCTGAAGAGAGCAGGTCTGCAATAAAACCCTTAATGCAGATGTAACTACAAATCTGCATTCACTTATTTTCTCAGGCCGTGATTTGACAAAAGCATTTATTTAGCGCCATTTTCTGGAGTCGGGACAAACTCGGCTCCAGTTAATAGTTTTTCTGCCAGAAAACAAATCCCAAGTCTAGTTTTTGACTTATTTGTGGCTCTTTTAGTCAGCAACAGGTTTGCTGACGAGCTTAAGATACAAAAGACCTCCATTTGGGCAGGTTGGCACTCGGGAGTCCCCCTTCTGCTTTCTGCAGTTTTTTTATTAAAGTACTTTTTCCTTTTCTACACAATGCATTTAAAAAATAGGGCGGGGGAGGGTGGGGGGTTAAATTGTTCAGAGAGGAATCATGGCATCCCTGGAGCGGGCCCTCTGTGTTTTGGTGTGGTGTTTCTAGAACAAAGTAGCCATTTCATGCAGTGTTGCAAAAGCATGTGCCATCGAGGTCTAGACTAAAAACTGTTTTGAGTAACAAAGCACCAAGACATTGTATTTTTTTATATTAGCACTGAGGACCAATCGCCCTGTCGGACCAAGCTTAACGAAGCGTTTTATGTAACGAAGCTTTTCTCTCTTGTCTTTCCCCGGCTTTGTCTGTTTCTCTCCTCCATTGTTGTGACAGCACAAGTGCCAGTCAATTTGCTCTGTATTAAGAAAATAGTGTTTTTATTATGATTTGAATTATAGTTTTTGTCTACCTCAGCACCTAACCTTAGCCTAATCTTAGAAGGTGCCCAATTATTATTTTATTTTTCTTTATTTCTTATCGTTGTATGATTATTGTTTTTTGTGTGAAAATGTTGCATTAGAGCTTTGCAAAAGGTCCTTTGTCTTTTCCAGCGACATCGTGCTATTTTTTTCCGTGGCAGTACGTATTTTCCTGTTGTGCCACCAATCTATAGCCACCGTCTGTTGATAAAGAGGTTGTTCTTTTGATTTTGTTTTTATTTCCATGTAGAATCAAGACACCTCTCTTTGTAACATTTCAGTGTTCTCTGATGGAGTGTGAAAAAAAATAAAAATAAAAGATTTAATGCTGCAGGTTCTCCATGTTGTCACTAAAGTCAATGTTGTGCCTTTGATAGTGAAAAATAGAAGAAAAAAAAGAATATTTCTTTTTCTACATCCTACTAACGGTAGATTGTTTTTTGTAGTGGAATTTTTTTTGTATTTTTATTTATGAGTCTCATAATAAAAATCAAATCATGATGTTCAGTTGTATACTTTCAGTCTGCGGTTAGACAAAAATAAAAAATGGACTTCATGTTGTTTTGTCTTAGCCCTTTTTCTGGCTCCATATTTGTTTCACAACAACAAATATAACTTACGCAATAGCTGTGTGTGTTTATTGTACTCCTACAGTACTTATACTACATACATATACTATCAATATATAGTATTTAAGTCAAATAAAATGGCTTCATTTACAACAATTTAATTTGTTTGTATAAAAACATTGTAATCCCTTATACGTATACCTTTAAAGCTCTTTTGCATAAAAGATCAAACTAAGAATGAAAAAATACATTTACTTCGCAGTGGAATACTAAGAAGTAAATGTATTTTTCATCCAAAAATGTTAAGCTTTTTAAAATGACACAATAAGGAGTTACAGTATTTAACAACAGAGTGGTGCAGGAATGAGTCCTATAACCCAGAAATTAGTCAGCATGTTATCACTTCCTGTTGCCTGGTCTGTAAGTCAATGGATTTATGAATATGTTTTTGGATAATGAGTCTGTGGTTAACACTAGTTAAATATATTTATATTCAACCACATAAAAATCATCAGTAAATACTCCACTAGTGAGTGAAAAAACAAGTGTCTAAATGAGAAGACTAAACGTCATCACGCCCAACATTAGCCGCCGTTAGTTTAGTGGTGGTGACGTGAAGTCATGTGACCGTGCTGTAGTTCCTTTATAGCCCAACATTAGCCTCCTTTAGCTTAGCGGTGGTGACGTGAAGTCATGTGACCGTGCTGTAGTTCCTTTATAGCCCAACATTAGCCGCCTTTAGCTTAGCGGTGGTGACGTGAAGTCATGTGACCGTGCTGTAGTTCCTTTATAGCCCAACATTAGCTGCCTTTAGCTTAGCGGTGGTGACGTGAAGTCATGTGACCGTGCTGTAGTTCCTTTACAGCCCAACATTAGCTGCCTTTAGCTTAGCGGTGGTGACGTGAAGTCATGTGACCGTGCTGTGGTTCCTTTATAGCCCAACATTAGCTGCCTTTAGCTTAGCGGTACTGACGTGAAGTCATGTGACCGTGCTGTAGTTCCTTTATAGCCCAACATTAGCCGCCTTTAGCTTAGCTGTGGGGACGTGAAGTCATGTGACCTTGCTGTAGTTCCTTTATAGCCCAACATTAGCTGCCTTTAGCTTAGCGGTGGGGACGTGAAGTCATGTGACCGTGCTGTAGTTCTTTTATAGCTGGCTATTTATTTCAAAAATCCTAAAGTGGTGTTAAAATGTAGAGATTATCCTGCTGAACAAAACATGTAGGCCTAAGTATCATAAACGCTTGAGATCATCTTTGCAATAATCCAAAATCCAACAGAAAAATCCCATTGGGTTTTTCTCTATTGAGCCCTTGCAATGCTAACTTCAGATTGGGTCTACAAAAATACATTATTACTGCACCGCTCTATAATTATATTTTAATACAGTCCATCTGCTATTAAACCCAGTAGAAAACCTTTTAAATAACCAAAGAAACCACATTATCTATCTACTAATACATGTAATTTCCAGTTGTCGTAATGTGTGAGACTGCATGCCTGCAGAGAGAAAACCTTATGGAAACATAATCTGATGCTAGAAAGCAAACTGTTGCATACATTCAATTTAGATTAACCTTCATTAACAGTTTAACTTATCTCCCTCCACAGGCTGTTGTCTGTTCCCACATTAAAAGCTCCATTTCCTGTGTGCTAACAGTTTCTGCTGCACTTCAGGCCTCGCTGCCTTCTGTCTGCTCTCCACAGAGGTCACACATGCTGTCATTAGATATACTGTGTGTGTGTGTGTGTGTGTGTGTGTGTGTGTGTGTGTGTGTGTGTGGTGTGTGTGTGTGTGTGTGTGTGTGTGTGTGTGTGTGTGTGTGGTGTGTGTGTGTGTGTGTGTGTGTGTGTGTGTGTGTGTGCGTGTGCGTGTGTGTGTGCGCGCGTTACGTGTGCAGCGCTATCGTGGCACATGATTGTCATTACAGAGGATATGAGCCGAGACACAGAGCTTCAGACAGATTCACCTGAGGCAGCTTTTAGTGGCACGTTGTTGCTCATATTTGACCTCCAAGTAACAGAAACAGATAAAAGGAAAACAAATAATTAGATATCAGTAAATTACATTCAAAATAAATATTGTGCGATGTTAATTGTGGGTGGAAATGCATTATTTTCAAGTCTTATTTGCAAATTAGTCGTGTATATTCTTTTTTTTATGACACAGTGTTGGATTTATAAGTCATTACGAGATTGATATTTAATATTATGATTTCCAGAGGATGTTTAAAAGGTATTATTGTGACCTGAGCATTCCTCTAGTGCCACCATCAGGCCAAATACCTCCACATGCTCTCCAGAGGATGAACCACTTCCAACCACAAAAGTGTACTTTATTTATTCAGCTATTTGCAAGGCTGATAAAATGATTAGTTTTCAGAGAAACACCTCCTTCGATTTGGTGATTTTACTGGATTATTATGTCGAACAATCCATAGAATAAACTTTACACATGGTCTCTATTCTGCTTTTCATGCAGTGTTATAGGTTTGTGTGCATGTAAACGGTCTGCAAAGGCTAAAATCCCAAAGTCTGGAACCCTTGCGCTCCTATTGGCTAGCGCTAGACTCAGGGGCGGGACATCTCTAAGCGTTTGACCAATCACAACAGAGATAACCAATCAGAGCAGACTGAGCTCTGGTTTCAGACAGAGGGTGAAAAGAGGTGCAAAACAAAAACACTTGAATTGCAACAAAACAGCAACAGTATGCTTCGTTAATATTAGAAAGTGAGTCTCACAATTTATATGTTACCTGCTGTCTGTGATTTTGTCCCCAAAAAGCTAAAAAAAGGAGAAGCTAGTGTCCAACAAATAAGTTGTACATGAAAAGTGTCCCGATATCGCCGCTACACTTTCTCATTTCCTCTGTGTTCTCATAAGGAGGATCAGATCATGACTTGTGGAAACTAATGAGGCCGCTCTCCACTTATGCACCAAACACTTTACCACACACTCTCTCTGCTTATGTATCTATTTATTTATGTTAGATTGTGGCATGAAGGGAAAACAGGAAATGGGGGAAGAAGGAAAGTCTCATTGTGAAGGGTGTGGTTGGTTTTTGGTGAGACTTTGATCTTATTTTGGGGCGAAGGAAAGGGCTGGTGAACAGTGAAGAGCCTTTGTGTTGCAGAATGACGCTCCATCACTGATCTGTAAAACACTAAGTGCATTTTACTACGCTATTTTAATATGAAAGCCTAAATTACTTTACGGATTAATATTTTGCATGTAATACACTTTTACCATAATGCTTCTCTAAAGATTAAACCAGTGGGATTACTGCTTGAGGTACAAATTATTCAATATATTACCAACAATGTATACATATTTTTATCAAAACGTACCCTTTGTAATAACATCAAATATATCACATACAGTATGGACACGTACTGTACTGTAAGTAAGTAAGAAATTGAGGTACTTGCACATTACTGGAGTATTTTAACCTTATGCTACTTCATACTTTTAATCCACTACATTTGTTTTACAGATTTAGTTACTAGCTACTTTGCAGATTGAGATTATAAATACGAAATCATATATTATCATAGGTTAAGCTACCCAGTAGAAGATAATAAGTTAATAAGTAATTAAAACAACCCCCATTTCAACAGGTGCAATATTGAAGTCATGAACACATACATTTTAACGCAATATTTGAAATGTTGTGGTGCTTAAATGGGCCATTCTGTCACAAACGAGCTGAGAACCCAAATGCAACACACGGGAAACCAGGGATAGTCGGTAACCAGCTGTAGGCTATTAAAGGCAATAGGCTGGTAGGAGACAAAACGGCAGATAGTAGGCAAAGGGCCGGTCGGGGACAGGCGAGGGTTCCAGGAGAAAGCAAGACGGGAGTCGCAGGTAGGCTACAGACCGGGTCAGGGAGCAGGCGAGGCAGGCTGGTCAGGGACAGGCAGGATCGAAACCGGGAGAGCAATCTGGAGGATAATGCGGGAAAGACTGGCATGCTGCAAAGTACGATCTGGCACTGAGGTGAAAGTGAAGTGGGCCTAAATACTAATGGAGCTGATGGGTGTAACAGAGTGAGAGAGAGAGAGAGACAGGGTGTGACTACCAGGTGGTTAATGCAGAAAATAGTTGAGTGAGAAAGCAGACTGTGACACATTCTGCACAGAGTAGGCTACCTTTTACTTTGGTACCTAAAGTATATTTAATGCTAAAACCTTTGTTCTCTTTCTCAAGTACATCTTGACTGCAGGAATTTTACTTGTAGAGGAGTCATTGGACATTCATTGTATGCTACTTCTCCTTAAAGGTAGGGTAGGTAAGAATGGAGAAACCAGCTCGAGTGCGTTAGAATTAGAAAATACGCAGCCGAAAGAAATCTGCCCCTTCCTTCAGACTTCCTTACAGAGCCCCTCCTCCAACACGCACGAACGCGCACATGACCAATGAGGGCACGAGATAAGTTTGTGCCCAGATGGAAGGCTGACAGGCAGGTAGGCCATCCAGTTACTTTAGCCGGGCCGGCTCAAATGATTGGTCGTGCTTTTTACAGTACTACGGCTTCCACAGATGAAATATTTGTATATATTTATTGTCAAAGCATTTCATGTATTCATTGCTATCGGGATGTTAAGAGCATTCCATGGAATATAACAAGTGTTTCGGAAGTGAATTACCTACTCCACCTTTAACTAATACTTCTTCTTAGTGGCACTACCCCAGAGTCAGGAGGAGCATCTGTGCAGCTCCTCTCTGATGTTTTTGTGCATGGTGCCATCTGCTGGCTGCATGATGAACTACAGGAGGAAACTCTTAATCTGCAGCTTTAAAAAGTAATATATCATAACGTTTTTAAAGTGGCTTCCAAGAGAACTACTTTCTTCCTTGTACTTTGGAAAACACCAGAAGAAATGAAGAAGAACATATTCCTATCCTAGTTATTAGAGTAGCAATGATTCAATAAGTGACAACAAATTGGTAAACATATAACTTAAATTACACTAAACATTGGAAATAAAATAAAATGGTGTGCCGGATTTTTGAAAAGGTACATCTTGATAATGTTGAGACTTTATTTGATTTATTGAAATATGATTAAATAGACAATTCCTTCTTTTTCATTGTATAATATTTCAACTCGTCTCTTGTTGCAACACAGCTGTGTTATAACAATTACAACAGTTATTATACAGATGTTATTACATACAGTGACACAATGTTAAAATGATGTTGATTATCATTCTCCTTACAGGCTTATGATTTACAATATAGTGAAAAGTTATGAAAACCATGAATAATTTATGTTAATATATTTGAAATGTCACATGCAATCAATACATGTAGTGCAAAGAACATATGCATTTGTTGCCTTAATAATATAAAATCCATGTACATACTTATTTTCTATATTCATATAGGTGTTTTACATTGTTTTATTACAACTTTAAGCATTTACAAACATCCTGCAGCTGTTTCTTTGTCTATATTTTTAATTTAAACTGTCTCATGAATGTTGGATATCTCCTGGTTTGACAGCTTTTAAAGGCACATATTTTAGAGGCGCTATTTTATATTTGTTTTGATTTGGGTAAATATATCCCAAAACGTTTTCCTCCAAGACACGACCAGAGCAAACATATTTACAGATTGCAATAGCCTTGCATTTTCGTTTCTCAGTTAAATGACATGGTGCATTTCATGCTTGGGCAACTTGTTAATATACCTCTACTGTATAGTCCCAACTACAGGAGCCTCTTCCTGTCCCATCACCATGAGGCTGCCTCTCTGAATCCACAGAGCTGTACAGGCCATGGAGCTGAAACTCCGGCCTTTTGAATTCAACGCTCTCCTCTCTCTCTGTGTCTGTGTGTGTGTGTGTGTGTGTGTGTGTGTGTGTGTGTGTGTGTGTGTGTGTGTGTGTGTGTGTGTGTGTGTGTGTGTGTGTGTGTGTGTGTGTGTGTGTGTGTGTGTGTGTGTGTGTGTGTGTGTGTGTGTGTGTGTGTGTGTGTGTGTGTGTGTGTGTGTGTGTGTGTGTGTGTGTGTGTGTGTGTGTGTGTGTGTGTGTGTGTGTGTGTGTGTGTGTGTGTGTGTGTGTGTGTGTGTTTGAGAAGATCTAATACAGTGCTGTGCTTCAATCTCACTTAATTGCATATTTACACTTACAGTAGTTTTTCTAAAATAGTAGTGGTTGCAGTCTTTGAGGGGTGGAGTTGTGTGTGTGTGTGTGTGTGTGTGTGTGTGTGTGTGTGTGTGTGTGTGTGTGTGTGTGTGTGTGTGTGTGTGTGTGTGTGTGTGTGTGTGTGTGTGTGTGTGTGTGTGTGTGTGTGTGTGTGTGTGCCTCAGGCAGAGGTGGGAATTAGTGAGGTACAAATATTTCGTTACTGTATTTAACTACATGTTTCTGGTATCAGTACTTTACTCCACTACTTATTTTTCTGACAATTTTTTACTTTTACTTCTTACATGTTGAACAAATACCTGTACTTTCTACTTCTTACATGTTGAACTCAAATACCTGTACTTTCTACTTCTCACATGTTGAACACAAATACCTGTACTTTCTACTTCTTACATGTTGAACACAAATACTTGTACTTTCTACTTCTCTCATTTTCCAAACAGCTGGTTCCTTTAGTCTGAATGTGTGTTTGGTGGCGTGATCATTATTCTTCTTGATTTGAACACGATCCGTGTATCCATCATTTCCTGGTCTTCTCTAAAGAAGAGGGACCAATGGAAACGTTGTCATGTTGCCGTTGTTCAGCATGGAAACATTCATTAGCTAACAATGACATTATTGTTCTATTAATATAAAGGGAGGTCAGGTACTCTTTAAAGCAGCTGCTAGTTATGGGTACTTTTTACTGAAGTACATTTCAAAGCCCTCTTTACTTTTACTTGAGTAAAGAAGTTTAGTCAGTACTTCTACTTGTACCAGAGTATTTTTAAACACGAGTATCTGTACTTCTACTTGAGTAAAGTATGTGTGTACTCTCAGGCCACCTGCCACACGGACCACAGGGTTCCCAGAGTGATGCTGTAGGCCACCACGGCCACCAGGTAGACCCTGAAGAGCAGCACGTCCAGCACGTAGCCCACCTGCAGCCACTCTTTGGCCACCTCCCTGCACCGGTCCCTCTTCTCCAGGAAGTGGCGTATGGCCGTCACCTCTTGTAGGATGTTGTCCATGACGGGCGGGGTGGGGTCTCTGGGGAGGGGGCGGCCGAGGCCCAGCAGCACCCCCTCCAGAGACCCCCCCCCCCTCTCTGTCCAGGTGGCTGCGTCTGCGGCCCAGCTCACAGGTGTGGTGCAGAGGGCACTGAGCTGCAGGAGAGGGGCAGGGAGAGGGTGTGTTTCACTTTCACTTATTCATTAAAGTCAACTTTAAAACTGAATATGTTAAGAATACTGAGTGAATAAGATGTTTTTATATATTTATTTTATTTTATAATGTTTACCTTTTAGGCATTCCTTACATTTTTTTAATTTTAATTTGTTTTGACTTTTTGACTTATTAAATTTGACTTTTTTAAATGTTTAATTTACATATACATTTTTGTATCTACAGTCAGAATATTTTTGAATTTCTTTCTAAAATGTATTCTTATTTTGCATCGATAAACATTCAGAGAGTGCTTTTCCTTACCGGTGCCGTAGCTGCTCTCCTTGTAGAGCTCCAGGTCGGGGGGCTGTGAGGTCAGATTGGAGCAGAGGCGGGGCTTCCTGTGGATGCAGAACAACATGGGGGCCCGCTCCAGGATCAGGTACTTCAGCCAGGGCGGGACGGGGGGCTGCAGGTCCTGTTTGTGGACCAGACGCACGATCAATACGGTCTCTGTCAGGCTGATCACCAGCAGGGCCATGCACACCACGAAGTACACACCTGGGGAGAGGAGAGGGGAGGAGGATGCTCTTACAGATATTATTATTAAAGCAGGTAGTTTCATATTATTTATATATACCTTTAATTTGGCTTCTTTAGAATAAAAGAAATTGTAATAATATTAATAATTGGAAGGAAAACAATTATTAAGAAAAATACATTAAGATAAAATACAAATAAACAAACAAAAAAGTCAATACAAAATTAATTAAATATAAAATCAAATAAAAAAAATCAACATTTTAAATCAAAGTTTAAAATTAAACGTATAAAGGTTATACAATATTTACAAAAATACAATAAAAGGTGTACATTGTATTGAAATATAAAACAATGTGCAATATGTGAAAATGGGTATATAAGACTCTTAATATATATATATAACTCATTCTTATTTATTTTAAATCACAAAATGCATCTTCAGTTGGACTATTGGTTTTGATTGGCCATAATTTGTGGCCGGCAGTAAAATAAAGCAAAGTATTTTTGAAATCACAAGTTATGAGTGTTATGAACGATAACTGTTGATAAGCTGAAATCCTGTTCTGAATAGTGTTCATGGATCCCATCATCACCTATGAGCGGGGTTCCTATGGCGGTGGCAGGTAGGGTGTCAGACACGATGATGAGGAACACAGAGTACCCCAGCAGCAGAGTGATCTTAAAGGAAACCCTCTCCCCGCTGTCTGGAGGCAGGTAGAAACCCACGATGTCCATGACCATCAGGAACATACTGGGCAGCAGCAGGTTCACCGTGTAGAACAATGGCCGCCGCCGGATCACCACCTGGGGAAGAAGGGTTACAGTTATTTCAAAATGTCTGCTGGGGGGAAAAAGGCCGGACATGGTTAACTTAGCTTAGCATAAAGACTGGAAACATGGCTCAGCATGTCTTAACACTGTAAATCATTTTTAATGTTGTGTTGATTGATGTAATTAATGCACAAAACACTACTAGGCCTATATGTACTTACTCCTGCTACATGCTAAACACAATCAATATTCTCATCCCCCTCTCACAAAAAAAGCAATATTTCCCCAAAAATATACAACTGTTTTGTTCCCAATACTTCCTTTTTTATCGTTTGCAGGCATTTAATGTATTTAACAGAGGCAGTAACAGATGTAAAACTGGGATCTTGCACTTGATGGTCACCGCTTTACACCTTTCAGGGAACAGGTATTCTCAATTTAAGACGTGTTCTCAATATATTTGTAACCCTGGTTAAAAAGTGGAGATTCAAGTAGTTACATTTTGAAGTAAGTAATGTAATAAGTAATTTATTTGAAATATAAAGTTTTTTTTTTTAAATATAGTTAGATGTAAATAGTTCAACAAAGACAAGTAAACATTATTCATAGGAGAATATTTGAGGTTAAAAAACACGGAATACACCTTTAGTTACAATCTCGTTTTTTATTGGTCAAAAATAAATAGGGGTTAGAGACACCTGTTGTGGTTGGTGGAGGTGAGGAAGTAAAACATGTAGGGCGAGTATAGCGCAAACTGGCGAAGGTAAACAAATTGATAATGGAGTAAATAGAGGAAAAATAGGGGCAGTCGAATAATAAACCAACACGCACTTTAATCCACATAATCTCTTTCAACTAGCCTGAACATTAGTGTTTGTGTGTTTCCGAATATTTGAATTATGTGACCAACTGAAATCGCGTAGCAGTTAACGGCTAAGCTAGTTAGAGCAATGATGCTAACGGTTAGCTGTTTTTAGCATCTATTAGCATAAAGATTCCTGTTGGATGGAGCCGTTGGTGACCCGAAAATGCTACTCGATGCCTTAAGGAGATGTCTACTTCCCGCGACCTTTAACACACGACTGTAAGTCTTTAACTGTATTTACCTTTAGTAGTAGGTAGCCTACTTGTATTTTACTTGTGTATTTCCATTTAATGCTATTTTATACTTCTAATCTTCTTAAATTCAGTAGCCAATATTGTACATTTTTGTTATTCAACTACATTAAACTGGACAGCTTTAGTTAGCCTACTTTAAAAACTGATATTTGTGGCTTATACTGAATATGAATAATACATAAATAGATAGTGATAGCTTAAGATGTACATACATCAGGCATAGCAGTATAACGTTTTCCAGATGTGTTGAACATTCATTAATTATCATAATCCAGTCATTTCACTGTATATGACCTGAAATGGGCTATTATGGATAATGAGTACTTTTAGTATTTAAATGTCAACACTTCTTGAGTTTTCATTTAGTGAGATTTTGTATGAAAGACTTTTACCTAAAACAGTACTTTTACGATTTAGTATTGCCAATGTTATACTCAATTAAATGTATTTGATCATTTTAAGATGCTGCGAAGACTCAGATTCATACTGTATAAATTATACATTATTCAATAAAAAAATAAATGACTACATAGGCCTGATGCCTTGGTGACCTTCCAATATTATTATGAAATTGGTTATGCATAATGAGTAGATTTTTATTGTAATACTTTTATATTTTTTCGTGGAGGACTTTTACTTGTTACGTGTACCTAAGTAAAATATCTGAGTAGTTCATTCATTCCTTTCGTTTGATCGATTGCAGTAAAGATGACAAGTATTTCCTTACACATATATCTATAAATCTTTTGAATACTCACGTGGAACTTCATCTCAGCGTAATAGTCGTCGTTGTCCACGCTGAAGATCTTGTAGTTGGACAGAATGTGCAGCAGCTCCCACTCTCCCTGGTTCATGAACACACTCTTGTCCTCCCTGAGCTCCTCGGGGCTTCGCATCAGCGTGATGTTGATGTCGTCAACTAGATCAAAGTCAAAATCAACTTTATTGTCAATCTTTCAGTTTGTGCAGTGATTCCCGCAGAAATGAAATATACTTTGGGGGAACGAGTCGGGGTGGGGTGGGGGGTCGGTGCGTGAAAAAAAATCTCCTCAGAAATCTCTCAAAAATGTAGGAGCGGGGCTAGTCCTGGTGGGCTACCCAGGCTGAGTGACAAGGTGGCATCCAGGAAACTGACATTTGCAGGTCACTGCCATCGACACCAGGAACTTCCAGCTGGCAAGTTAGTACTCTGGGAGCCAACACACGGGCACCGACCAAGAGGGCGCCCCACGCCAACATACGTGGAGGTGCTGAGGAAGGATGTGGGGGTGGAAAGCTCCACAGAGCTGGCCGGGTGTATGGAGGACCGTGAGGATTGGCAAACCCGTTGGCAAACTCGTCTAAGGACGACCTAGTAGTAGTAGTCCTTGATTGGCTCAAGTTCACACCTTTTTAGGGGCGGGGCTAGTGATGTTGTCCCGGGGATGCTTAGGAGTTGATAAAGGAGATAATCCCACTGACGTCATCATTTGATTCCAAAAGTGGGTCTGGACTCGCGCCCATAGAGGCTGTTTACCAGTATAATGGCTCCCCCCCAAAGTATAATTTATGGGTGGCTCCCCCCAAAGTATAATTTATGGGTGGCTCCCCCCAAAGTATAATTTATGGTTTTTTAAGTTTTTTTTACTCACTGAGCACTCATTGCCACCAATGTAAATGCAAATGAGTGCTCACTGAGTAAAAAAAAACAAAAAACACACAAATTATACTTTGGGGGGAGCCATTATACTTTGGGGGCCCCCCAAAGTATTAACATGCTGTGGGAATCACTGTTGTGTGTACAGAGAGATCGAAATACCGTTTCCCACAATACAAAAACAAATGTATATAAAAAAGATGTATGTATACTAGGGCTGCACGATATATCGTGTCGTGACGATAATCGCGTTATGCACATGCACGATATTGACATTGCAGGACAATAAAAAATGTTTTAGGACGTGCGATATTAAGTAGGCAAATGAACTCAAACACGTCATGTTACAATTATTTTTGCTGCTTGCTACAAAATGAAAACTTGCGCGGCTCTCATGTCAGGGGTTCTTGAGTGAGTGACAAGCCGGTGTTATGCCGTAGGTTGAAGCCTTGCCATAGATTTAAGCCCTGTTCGCGGGGACGCGCAAAGGTGACGTCATCGCCTGTATTGAGCTTTTGCCGTTTTTTCACCGTTTTCTAAGCTTTTTTCACCCTTTTGAATGATATATCAGATTAAACAGCAAACGGCTGAATAAATAATGTGCATACAATTGCGAGGAGGCTCGTTTTAAGGACACGTTTCTCAGATCTGTCACAATCTTCGTATTGGAATAAACTTCCGTTTTTGAGTGCAGTCCCACTCTGTTATATTCCTCCTTCCTACAGAACAGACAATGACAGGATAATATGTGATTTGTCAATAGTCATATTTCTTAAAAACTTCTCTGTTGTTTAAGTGTCTGATAACCACGAATAGTAAGCAATGATAAAACCGTAATGATATCACATGATCATGTCAGACACTGTGTTATTTTCAATCAAGCCTAAAAGATAATGTGTTCAAACCGGCTTCACTCACTTGAATTGCTCCTTTGAATATCATTTTTATATATTCCTACTCAACACATGTTTGCATTGTAATGCCACTCCTATTTTTTTTTTAAATTGTATTTTAAGGTGACATTGAATGCTTTGAAAGGTGCCCTAAAATAAAGTGTATTATTGATCTTATATCTGTGCCTCTATTACATTACATTTCATTTTCTATCACACTATTAATGTTCCTTATTTTAGACTAGGTTAATCCTGGTGTCAATAGGGAAGATCTGCACTGTTCTCTACATAACATGTTCAGAGCAGGTATTTCTCCTGCCGGATTTGGAACCCCCCCTATATCTTTCTCCAGGATAGTCACAGACTCACCAAAATCACACTGGTGCTTGCTGTTCCCCTCTAGGTTGTGATCACAAAAGCATTTCACTCTGGGCCCAGCAGGTACAAAAATAAAGAGGGGCTTCAAAATCCGGCAGAGCAGGTGTTGGTGCTGCCGGATTTGGAACCCCCCCATATCTTTCTCCAGGATAGTCACAACTTCACCAAAATCATACTGTTGTTTGCTGTTCCCCTCTAGTTTGTGCTCACAAAAGCATTTCACTCTGGGCCCTGCAGGTGAAAAACTAAAGAGGGGCTTCAAAATCCGGCAGTGCAGTTGTTAGAGCTGCCGGATTTTGAAGCGCCCCCTGTCATTTTGGCCAGGATAGATAAATGCTTTTGTGAGCATAAACTAGAGGGGAACAGGCAACACCAGTGTGATTTTGGTGACATTGTGACTTTCCTGGCCAAAATGACAGGGGGCGCTTCAAAATCCGGCAGCTCTAACAACTGCACTGCCGGATTTTGAAGCCCCTCTTTATTTTTGTACCTGCTGGGCCCAGAGTGAAATGCTTTTGTGATCACAACCTAGAGGGGAACAGCAAGCACCAGTGTGATTTTGGTGAGTCTGTGACTATCCTGGAGAAAGATATGGGGGGGGTTCCAAATCCGGCAGGAGAAATACCTGCTCTGAACATGTTATGTAGAGAACAGTGCAGATCTTCCCTATTGACACCAGGATTAACCTAGTCTAAAATAAGGAACATTAATAGTGTGATAGAAAATGTAATGTAATAGAGGCACAGATATAAGATCAATAATACACTTTATTTTAGGGCACCTTTCAAAGCATTCAATGTCACCTTAAAATACAATTTAAAAAAAAATAGGAGTGGCATTACAATGCAAACATGTGTTGAGTAGGAATATATAAAAATGATATTCAAAGGAGCAATTCAAGTGAGTGAAGCCGGTTTGAACACATTATCTTTTAGGCTTGATTGAAAATAACACAGTGTCTGACATGATCATGTGATATCATTACTGTCATATCATTGCTTACTATTCGTGGTTATCAGACACTTAAACAACAGAGAAGGTTTTAAGAAATAGGACTATTGACAAATCACATATTATCCCGTCATTGTCTGTTCTGTAGGAAGGAGGAATATAACAGAGTGGGACTATACACTCAAAAACGTAAGTGTATTCCAATACGAAGATTGTGACAGATCTGAGAAACGTGTCCTTAAAACGAGCCTCCTCGCAATTGTATGCACATTATTTATTCAGCTGTTTGCTGTTTAATCTGATATATCATTCAAAAGAGAGAAAAAAGCTTAGAAAACGGCGAACGCTCAATACAGGCGATGACGTCACCTTTGCGCGTCCCCGCGAACAGGGCTTCGACCTACGCCATAACACCGGCTCTGCATGCACAGCAAACCACCAATCACAATCATTCTTGATCAGATCACAGCAGGATAACCGAGCTAGCTCAGCTTGTTGCTCTGATAGCTTAAGATCCAGAAGTCTGTGACTAAAATCCTTCATCCGGTTAAATATTGTTAAAAAAATACGAATTGTTATAGCTTTAAAGTTCAAGAGAGGATGGCTTACGGACAAACAAAACTGTCTTCTCTCCAATTCCTGTATTTTTTTCATATCGCAATAGGTGCTTTCACACCGGAGTACTTGTACCCGTACTTTTCCCGTTTAGTTCCGTTAGTGCCTGGAATTTTGCGTTCACACCAAAAAGAGAACTTAGTTCCGAGAACTTTTACCCCCATGTTTAGTGCCTGCTAGAGAGGTGGTACTTTCCTGGGGAGAACAAATTGGCTGGGCGAATTGCAAACCACGCCCTGTAAAACTCTGAAAAGTTTTTTGAAGCCGCCATTGTATTTGCTGGCATTAGCATTATTAGCATTAGCCCCGCGCACCAACGGAGAGAGAATAACTTATGGCAACACAAAAAAAAACATGGGAGCGGTGGAGATGAGGAGGTGTCGGAAGGCTTCAGTAGACGCCGTGAAGTTGTTTGCGGCTGCCAGTAAACCCAAAGAAGAAGAAGTGACGTTAGCGGCTTCATTTGCGTAATCTTCCCTCGGGGACTTATCCGGTGTGAACGCGATCGGCTCTTAGTTCCATGGGGGTACTAAGTACTGGGAACTAAGTACGGCAAAGTACTTGGTGTGAAAGCGGCTATTATATATCGCAGGGGGAAAAAATATCTTGCAGCCCTAGTGTATATATATATATATATATGTGTGTGTATATATATATGTGTGTGTATATATATATATGTGTATGTATATAATATGTGTGTATATGTATATACATATATGTATATATATATATATATATATGTATATATATACACACATGTATATATGTATATATACACACATATATATATACACAATCAAAAGACACATTTATACATATGCTCACATTAAGACCTAAATAAAAGCACACAAATAAAATAACAGTCACTTCAATATCTTTGAGAATGTACATTAGTGCAAGACTGTCCATAGCAGTGTAAAAAAGGCAAAAAAGTGTCTCGAAAAATAATATGGTGAGCAGCGTGAAGCGGCCGTCAACAAGTTCCCCTTCACCCTCCACTCTGATATGAGAGTGGTATCATAGTATCACAACAGAGCAGTTGTCTCACTCGAGTCTTAATGAGAATATTTGAAGAGAGAGTTTGATGTTGTTCTTCTGATTTTAGGTTAATATGTCTCAATGGTAATATGGTCTACTTTCCTGCTGTCTACCTGAGTCTGGTGCTGCCATCAAATCGAAATCTGTGTGACAGATAGTTGACTAATGGTTCAGTTGACAGTATTGAGGAGCATTAATTCTGAATCTGAAATATACTATGGATATTTTGGAGTCACACAGATTTAATCTGTATTTATTTTATTGCCACCTAATCCGCCTAAATGAGCTGTGTTCATTTTTGAGTTAACTCCATATTTTGCACTGTACTGCGACAATATTAATGTGCGTTTCTCTTCATTTAGAGATGTTATTCTCCCACACTCTAGCCTGTTAGGAAACAACACACATCCAAACCCTTTATAACAACAAGCTTGTACTAGTGATGTTTTTAAACCAAACAAAAGAGCTAAATCCCCCAAAATATGTGTTAGTTGAGTGAATAAAGCCTTACTGGTGTGCAGCCAGCTCTGGAAGGTGAGGCTGCATTTCTGCACATCGAAAGGGAAGTTGTAGATGTTGAGCGTGCAGGCCGTCACCACCTGGATGGGCTTGTAGTTTCGCACCAGTCCATCGTGGGTCACATAGACGTACGGTATGTCCGGAGACTTCCCCACATCCACACTGTCGGTTAGAGGCAAAATATTGACATTATTTGAACAGACTCTCTGAGAATAATGATTCAAGCGACAGAAAATAGGATGTTTCTCTTACAACTCATTGATGAGGATGTCCGGCACCCACACGTTAGCCGTAGGTAAAGAAACCTGTTTCACTTCATCAAAATCCTCCGGGTTCCACACCAGGAATTCATCCGTCCATGACTAAGATATGGAAGAAATAAAGAGGCTAAATTATTATATATTAAATATAGATTAGGGCTTTTTGCACAGGGTTTAAATATACTATAAATGTTAAAGTAACAGAAGATACATGTTATACGTATACATACTGTAAAGACATAAGGAGTAGGGTAACATTGGTATTGATGAGGTATACGATAACTCAAACACCGTTAAAACTAACAGGTTGTCAGTACTAATAACAGTAATCATAACAAATTGGTTTAATGGATCCAGTATTTGATAGTGAAAAGTTGCAGTAGCTTCGCCCAGATCTTTAGGACAAATCACAGTTCATGTTGTGATTTGTCATTTTTAGAAACTAAATGTAGTCTTACCTGCCTGTACCACACATACGTTGTCAAAACCTGGTTCTTCTCGTCCTGTAATTGAATCGAAATCTTCAGTTAGAGACACATTTGTAATATTTATTTGTATTCTTATGTATACTCTACTCTATTTATTTTTGTATTAGTACATTTATTAATATGTTAGAAACAAACAATAATAATAATAATTATAACAAAGAGACGCAAAATAAAACAAACGTTCAAGGTATAAACAAATAAACTCTCAAATAGTTTCCGTCATGTTCAAAAGCGGCAAGAAGAAGCTTGAGAACGTTTCTGGTCCGACCCCCTCTTGCGTGCATTGTTCATGAAAAATACATAAGTATAATAATGTAACGTTCTGGATGTGTGTAATTAGGGCTGCTCGATTATGGCAAAAATCATAATCTGCATTATTTGGGTCAATAATTGATATCACGATTATTAAAAACGATTATCCATTTACTTTGAAAACACCCATTTATTAAAAAAATTCATAAAAATAAATAAATAATCGTTTTATTTCGATTATGTTGTTTTCATAATCGTTGCAAGCCAAAATCGTAATTGTGATTAAAATACGATGAATTGAGCGCCCTATGTGTAATAGTTTATTTGTTGACTCACCACATTGAGGATGGAGTACACCATGAGGTCGATGGCCACGATGGTGGACGTCCTCCAGTCCTTCACCGGTCTCACTCCCTTCTTATAGCCGGCACTCAGAAACTCAGAGAGACGCACCAAGGTGGCGTTCGCAAACCTCCCCGTGCTGCTGCCCGACTTCTTCACTGAAATGTATCAAGTTTTCATCTTTTATACGAGCTGACGCCGCGACTGTTAATATTACATTTTTCTGCAGAAGAGATGCATAACAAAAAATCTGAAGTTAATTTAAACGTTATAGAATGACATTGTTTCTAAAGCTAATCTACTTTTTTAGAATAAGATCTGCCTGATTTCAGTGTAAATAGTGTTTAAATAAATTGCAAATAAACCATTTTGTTTGAAATTAGAAATCTGTTGAATATATTGAATAATTCAGATACAAATTCAAACCAAATACAGTTTAAAATTAAATATATTTAATAGCAGATTCCGGCTATTATAAGCAATATGACTTATAAAGAATGTATTAAGATATGGTATTTATTTAGTGCAATAGTAATAAATAGGCAAGCATTTTGGGTTAATAAAATCAAATACCAAGTATTGTAAACAAAACAAAAAACAATTAAATAAGTAGCAGCATTATAAAATAAACAAACTAGCTGCCAAATCATAATAATAATAATAACTTAGATTTATATAGCGCCTTTCAGGGGACCCAAGCTCGCTTTACCTAAACATAATAAATAATTAAAACCATATATTGCACTTAAGCATATTTAGAGCTCATCAGTCAGCAGTTAATTCCATTTTATTTTGGTACTTCCTTGGTACCGCCATTCTCTATATTCCTGCTAATAACCAATATACTACAGTTAAATATTTAAAGCCACTAAATGTAGTTTAATGAGAATCTGCTGTACCTGTGCAGGCTCTGGTCGCTCCTTGAATAAAGAGTAAAAGGAGTGCGGTCCACGCTGATGAGGCTCTCATGGTGCCGCTTCACCTGGAAGTCTTCCTGCCGCTCTGATGAAAGGCCTCTGGACGCCTCACTCACATATCCTCCGTATCCCTCCACCAAATCCATCACTACACCCTCCTGCACTATGAAAACCTTGTTAGTGTCATCGCAGTCTGACGCCACTCCTCCTCCCGGTCAATAAAGATCTGCCAGATAAGTGGAGCTAAGAGAGTGCAGAAATTAAAACTAGTAAAGTGGGTACTATGTCATGTCTGAGTAATCGTTTAATTAAGTAGTGCGTCAACATCAGACCACTGGAGTAATTAAGAGACTGTTAGACAAGACTGTTAACTCACTTACTGGCGCCTAAGATTCACAGTTTAACATAGGGCTGCACAATTAATTAATACCTTATTAAAATATGGACTTGTGCAATATCCAAATCATTGTAAGGCGATTTCTTTGTCTATTTATTGTTCAAATATTCTTTTTTTTGCTCCTTTTTTCACGACATATTCCTCTTAATGTGTTTATGTATGCATCATGCACAACAACAAAGGAAATTCCTCATATGTGTAAACCTACTTGGCAATAAGCCGATTGTGAATCTGATTTTAAAGCTAAATATGCGGTAAAATACCATTCAAAAGAAGTATCGTGGCTCGGCCTACACACGGGTTATGCCTGGCTGAATTATCATTTATGAACTGAAACATCACGTAAAATAACCGGCAATCTTTCCTAGTTTATTGTCCAGTTCCGTCCCAAATCGCATAAAACTCAATGACACATTTCAGATTCAACTTTATTGTCATTACATAGTACATATACTAGTGACGAAATGTAAGTTAGGCATCTGACCAGAAGTGCGAAATAGCAGTGCAGGAGTCTACATATGAGAATAATTATAAATAGGCTATAAACAGATGCGTATGTACAGTGTAAAGGGCATTGACAGTCAAATATATAAACAGGTGGGTGGTGGGCATGGGTTTATCAGGGAGCCGAGTTCAGCAGGGTAACAGCCCTGGGGAAGAAGCTGACCCTGAACCTGCTGGTCTTGGACTGGAGGCTCCTGAGGCGCCTCCCCGAGGGTAGGAGGACAAACAGATAGTTTGCAGGATGAGAGGTGTCTTTGAAGATGTTGTGCGCCCTCTGCAAACACCGTATCCCCTGGATGTCCTCGATGGCAGGGAGTGGGACACCGATGATGCGTTGGGCGATTTTCGTCACCCTCTGCAATGCCTTCCTGTTGAGCATTGAGCAGTTCCCATACCAGGCTGTGATACAGCATCAAACAGAAATGTGGTTTGATTTTTCACACAGATATATTAGGTGGTTTACTTTTTGAGCTCTTAAACTGCTTTCCACTATCCACTGATTTCTCATGTTTCGGTGTAATTCAGAATAAATAATAGGCAGGTTCCTGGTTGATTCGACTTCATGAGACTTTTATTTTCACTTGTCCTTTATTATATTCACAAACCATTCATTTTAAAGGCTTATCTTTTCAAGCATTGATCGAGTCTGTCCACAAAGAGATTAGAAGCTTCATACAGACTGTAACTAAGCACTTTATCGCCAGCTCTGGTTGCATAACATCATGAAACCAGATCCACTGGTTCTCAGATGTGTGTAAATTGTGTTAATATGGATCTTTCCAGTATAGCAAGTTCTCCATGACGCAGGTTTGATATTCTAGTCAGGATATCAGGAAACCACCAGGGAAAAGAGGCAACGCAGCAGAGCTCTGAATGCTTTTATTGATCTGTTTTCTGGAAACTGGATTGAATACAATAGCATAACATCACACTGAGGCTTTATCACACATTATCTTTGAGTCAAGCTTCACTGTCGGGAATACACAACAGACGCGATGTCTTTCTCAGACTGATGTTGCGTTACGGTGGCAGTGCAATATCTGGATGTTAGGCAAACTGAATATTTAAACAATAGTACTAGTTTCAGACAAATTCTATTTCATTCTACTCGTTTGTTTTAAATTATTTGTATAGTTTAGCGATAGATGGGGGAAGAAAGATGATCAGATAAAACAAAGGCAAACGGTTACATGTTTTCCCAAATTGTTCGTTTCTCGGTTACATTCAATACGAAGTTGAAAAACATGGCATAACGTAAAAATAAAGGTATGTAATATATTGGTTAACAACAATGCAACAGCATACTGTATAAAGTGTTTCCTATACGGCCTTATTACTTTTGTGGAAGGGAAATTAAATAGCAACAGTCTTTGTATACATGTGAAATGGGACACCCCAATTAGCTATGTGAAGCTTTACAATAAAAGCCCAGACACTAAAGAGAACATATATATCTTACCAACACTTCTAGAGTTGGAGAGAGTTTGTATTATAAAGAAACCTAATAAGCTTAAAAAAAACTAACACTAATCAAATAGCCTAAAACGAACCTAACCCTTACTACGAAATGCTCCCAAAACATTGTCAATCAGTCAAATCAATGGTATAAAACAGGTAAGATGATAAACACGTATACTGTATGACAAAGGGAAAAGCATGGTACACATCCAATGAGGTTCAGAGTAAAGGAACATGTTCACATCACAAGCAAGGGGCTTCACAAACAAAAAGTCAGGCGAAGCTCCAGCTGGCCCAGAGCATCAGCAGCGTCCCGGCGTACGAGATCAGGACTACGAGGTAGAAGCGAAACAGGAAGCCGTCGAGTTTTGAACACAGAGCCAGCCAATCAGCATGAGCCGAAGACTCGCTGTCCTCCTGAGATAATGCCAGGCGAAGAGTCACCAACTCCTGCAGGAGCCAGTCCAGACCAGAGGGAGACTCCTGGATCTCATTCAGCGAGAGCAGGTCCTCCTCCATAGATGCATCCATATCATACTCTAAAGAGAAGATCAAGGAGTCTGAGTTATAATGTGACAGTTAATCAGAGATGGCAAAAGTACACACATCCTTTACTCAAGTAGAAGTACAGATACTTGTGTTTAAAAATACTCTGGTGAAAGTAGAAGTACTGACTAAACTTCTTTACTCAAGTAAAAGTAAAGAGGCTTTGAAATGTACTTCAGTAAAAAGTACCCATAACTAGCAGCTGCTTTAAAGAGTACCTGACCTCCCTTTATATCAATAGAACAATAATGTCATTGTTAGCTAATGAATGTTTCCATGCTGAACAACGGCAACATGACAACGTTTCCATTGGTCCCTCTTCTTTAGAGAAGACCAGGAAATGATGGATACACGGATCGTGTTCAAATCAATAGGCACGCAATGACTCTAAAGAACTAGAAAATGCATTTCTTGCAGAAAATGCGTGTGAATGCTGTAAACTGTGAACATTTAAGGCTGAATTTAGCTGAAAATGCAGAAAAAGCTGAATATGTTATTAGCTGAATGGTAGCTGCTTTTAGCTAAAAAAAATGCAGAAAAAGCTGAATATTTAAAAGAAAAGGTTTAAAAAAGGTATAAACAACAACATGTATAGCCTTGATGTCCTGAAATAGCTGAATAATGTAATAGTTGAATGGGTTCTGCAGCTGAAAATAGGCTGAAGGAGTTAAATATCAGATGTAAGTAGTAGTGAATGAATTTGTATTAAGATGAGAAAAGAAAGTAAAAAGGCTTGGGAAACTTTTGAACTAACTTGATGGTGAATGATCTGTCGCCATGGCAACGGCATTTGATGACATCCCATAATACTCTTAGATGTGTTGATGGCTGCATTGTTACCAAACCTGTGAAGTTTTGGGCCATTTCGAGTATTTTCACTGAAGTTATGAGAAAACCGTGTTTCATGGTGAGCATTGTGTTGCCATGGCAACGACATTTGAAGAAATCTCAAAACTGTCACGTAGATGTCTTCACGGCTGGACTGTTAGCATACATGTGAAGTTTGCGCACACTTTGAACATTTGCATAGGAGTTATAGTGACATCATATTTTATGGCGAGGGATGCGTTTCCATGGAAACGGCATATGGTGAGATCTCAGATTTGGCGTAGAGCTGTGGAGGCATGGACCGGTGATATACAAGTGAAGATTGGGGGACGATTGGACCGTGTCCATTGGATTTATAGCGACATCAAGTTGTATGGCGAGGGATGCGTTTCCATGGAAACGGCATATGGTGAGATCTCAGATTTGGCGTAGAGCTCTTGAGGCATGGACCGGTGATATACAAGTGAAGATTGGGGGACGATTGGACAGTGTCGATTTGACTTACAGCCTCATCGTGTTTCATGGCGAGTGGTCTGTCGCCATGGCGATGACATTTGATGACACCCCATACTACGCTTAGATGCATTGATGGCTGCATCGTTATCAAACCTGTGAAGTTCTGGGCTGTTTGGAGTATTTTCACTGAAGCTATGAGAAAACCGTGTTTCAAGGCGAGCATTGTGTTGCCATGGCAACGGCATTTGGAGAAATCTCAAGACTGTCCCGAATCGTCTTCACAGCTGGACTGTTGAAGTCTGCTGCATGTCAGTTGGAGCGATGACATCATCGTGTTCCATTACACAGGTGTTTATAGTTGAACTAACGAGCTCTGTAGAGATCACAGGTTTCCATTGTTCTGAATGAGAGATGAACCTCTTACATGTGAACGTTTTGTGGAAGAACCGTAACAGATATCTGTGAAATTTCAAAACGTGAAGCATGTCAAGGAAGTTGAGTATCTGAAGTGTAATTTTTGTGTAGTTTTGGGTTAATAATGTGGCCTTTTTGGCAGTTTAACTAAAGGTGTGCGGCTGCTACCGTGAGGAAATATCTGCCTGAAATTACAATGGGCTTCAATGGAGGAATGTTGAACGTTTTTGTCACTTAATGCCCTCAAGAGGCATTTTCTTTAATATCTTTTCTTATTTTTTCTTTATTTTCCAAGCTAGGAGAGGTTTTCCTACGTTTTCCATGAAAAAATATGTCTGAGGAGTGTAGGGTTTGGGAAGTATGGCAAGTGTAAAACATTTTTGGGGGAGAATTTTGAGCTGTCCTGCACTCTGTTTTGAGATCAAAGCACTCTAGAGTTAATGAGCTGCTCCATCCACTCTAATGTAAAAATCTTAAAAATGCCTCTCTACCAAGCTCCAAACTAAATTCAATATCTCAAAAAGTTGAAAAGATATCAAAATTATTTTATACAAGTTTTATAGCTGAAGGTATTGTGATCATTTGAAAGTTGGAATGAAGTGTCTGGCTGAAATTATGTGGAAGGAGATGCATTTGGCGCAAAGTGTAGGAAAAGTGGATTTGAAGGCTCTTCCCATTGACTTCAATGTTAAAAAAAAGAGTTTAAAAAGCTGAATATTTCAAAAAGTATAAAATATTTTGAAAAAGTTGAAGGTTTCCCATCGATTCCTGAACAGGCTGAATAGTTTAATATTTGAATGGTTTCTGTAGCTGAAAATAAGCTGAAGTTATGGAGTGCCAAAGTATTGGCTGAAATAATAATAATAAGGGGAAGAACTAGAAAATGCATTTCTTGCAGAAAATGCGTGCGAATGCTGTAAACTGTGAACATTTATGGCTGAATTTAGCTGAAAATGCAGAAAAAGCTGAATATGTTATTAGCTGAATGGTAGCTGCTTTTAGCTAAAAAAATGCAGAAAAAGCTGAATATTTAAAAGAAAAGGTTTAAAAAAGGTATAAACAACAACATGTATAGCCTTGATGTCCTGAAATAGCTGAATAATGTAATAGTTGAATGGGTTCTGCAGCTGAAAATAGGCTGAAGGAGTTAAATATCAGATGTAAGTAGTAGTGAATGAATTTGTATTAAGATGAGAAAAGAAAGTAAAAAGGCTTGAGAAACTTTTGAACTAACTTGATGGTGAATGATCTGTCGCCATGGCAACGGCATTTGATGACATCCCATAATACTCTTAGATGTGTTGATGGCTGCATTGTTACCAAACCTGTGAAGTTTTGGGCCATTTCGAGTATTTTCACTGAAGTTATGAGAAAACCGTGTTTCATGGTGAGCATTGTGTTGCCATGGCAACGGCATTTGAAGAAATCTCAAAACTGTCACGTAGATGTCTTCACGGCTGGACTGTTAGCATACATGTGAAGTTTGCGCACACTTTGAACATTTGCATTGGAGTTATAGTGACATCATATTTTATGGCGAGGGATGCGTTTCCATGGAAACGGCATATGGTGAGATCTCAGATTTGGCGTAGAGCTGTGGAGGCATGGACCGGTGATATACAAGTGAAGATTGGGGGACGATTGGACCGTGTCCATTGGACTTATAGCGTCATCAAGTTGTATGGCGAGGGATGCGTTTCCATGGAAACGGCATATGGTGAGATCTCAGATTTGGCGTAGAGCTGTGGAGGCATGGACCGGTGATATACAAGTGAAGATTGGGGGACGATTGGACAGTGTCGATTTGACTTACAGCCTCATCGTGTTTCATGGCGAGTGGTCTGTCGCCATGGCGATGACATTTGATGACACCCCATACTACGCTTAGATGCATTGATGGCTGCATCGTTATCAAACCTGTGAAGTTCTGGGTTGTTTGGAGTATTTTCACTGAAGTTATGAGAAAACCGTGTTTCAAGGCGAGCATTGTGTTGCCATGGCAACGGCATTTGAAGAAATCTCAAGACTGTCCCGAATCGTCTTCACAGCTGGACTGTTGAAGTCTGCTGCATGGCAGTTGGAGTGATGACATCATCGTGTTCCATTACACAGGTGTTTATATTTGAACTAACGAGCTCTGTAGAGATCACAGGTTTCCATTGTTCTGAATGAGAGATGAACCTCTTACATGTGAACGTTTTGTGGAAGAACCGTAACAGATATCTGTGAAATTTCAAAACGTGAAGCATGTCAAGGAAGTTGAGTATCTGAAGTGTAATTTTTGTGTAATTTTGGGTTAATAATGTGGCCTTTTTGGCAGTTTAACTAAAGGTGTGCGGCTGCTACCATGAGGAAATATCTGCCTGAAATTACAATGGGCTTCGATGGAGGAATGTTGAACGTTTTTGTCACTTAATGCCCTCAAGAGGCATTTTCTTTAATATTTTTTCTTATTTTATTTTAATTTTCCAAGCTAGGAGAGGTTTTCCTACGTTTTTCATGAAAAAATATGTCTGAGGAGTGTAGGGTTTGGGAATTATGGCAAGTTTAAAACATTTTTGGGGGAGAATTTTGAGCTGTCCTGCACTCTGTTTTGAGATCAAAGCACTCTAGAGTTAATGAGCTGCTCCATCCACTCTAATGTAAAAATCTTAAAAATGCCTCTCTACCAAGCTCCAAACTAAATTCAATATCTCAAAAAGTTGAAAAGATATCAAAATTATTTTATACAAGTTTTATAGCTGAAGGTATTGTGATCATTTGAAAGTTTGAATGAAGTGTCTGGCTGAAATTATGTGGAAGGAGATGCATTTGGCGCAAAGTGTAGGAAAACAGGATTTGAAGGCATCTCCCATTGACTTCAATGTTAAAAAAAGAGTTTAAAAAGCTGAATATTTCAAAAAGTATGAAATATTTTGAAAAAGTTGAAGGTTTCCCATCGATTCCTGAACAGGCTGAATAGTTTAATATTTGAATGGTTTCTGTAGCCGAAAGTAAGCTGAAGTTATGGAGAGCTAAAGTATTGGCTGATTTGAAGGCTCTTCCCATTGACTTCAATGTTAAAAAAAGAGTTTAAAAAGCTGAATATTTCAAAAAGTATGAAATATTTTGAAAAAGTTGAAGGTTTCCCATCGATTCCTGAACAGGCTGAATAGTTTAATATTTGAATGGTTTCTGTAGCCAAAAGTAAGCTGAAGTTATGGAGAGCTAAAGTATTGGCTGATTTGAAGGCTCTTCCCATTGACTTCAATGTTAAAAAAAGAGTGTAAAAAGCTGAATATTTCAAAAAGTATAACATATTTTGAAAAAGTTGAAGGTTTCCCATCGATTCCTGAACAGGCTGAATAGTTTAATATTTGAATGGTTTCTGTAGCTGAAAATAAGCTGAAGTTATGGAAAGCCAAAATATTGGCTGAAATAATAATAATAATAATAAGGGGAAGAATAAAGATTTGAAGCACTATAGTGGAATGCTGTAAACAGCATTCGCACTAATAAAGATTTGAAGCACTATAGTGGAATGCTGTAAACAGCATTCGCACTAATAATGATCACGCATCAAACACACATTCAGACTAAAGGAACCAGCTGTTTGGAAAATGAGAGAAGTAGAAAGTACAAGTATTTGAGTTCAACATGTAAGAAGTAGAAAGTACAGGTATTTGTGTTCAACATGTGAGAAGTAGAAAGTACAGGTATTTGAGTTCAACATGTAAGAAGTAGAAAGTACAGGTATTTGAGTTCAACATGTAAGAAGTAGAAAGTACAGGTATTTGAGTTCAACATTTAAGAAGTAGAAAGTACAGGTATTAGAGTTCAACATGTAAGAAGTAGAAAGTACAGGTATTTGTGTTCAACATGTGAGAAGTAGAAAGTACAGGTATTTGAGTTCAACATGTAAGAAGTAGAAAGTACAGGTATTTGAGTTCAACATGTAAGAAGTAGAAAGTACAGGTATTTGAGTTCAACATGTAAGAAGTAGAAAGTACAGGTATTTGTGTTTCAACATGTAAGAAGTAGAAAGTATAGGTATTTGTGTTCAACATGTAAGAAGTAGAAAGTACAGGGTATTTGAGTTCAACATGTAAGAAGTAGAAAGTACAGGTATTTGTGTTCAACATGTAAGAAGTAGAAAGTACAGGTATTTGAGTTCAACATGTGAGAAGTAGAAAGTACAGGTATTTGGGTTCAACATGTAAGAAGTAGAAAGTACAGGTATTTGGGTTCAACATGTAAGAAGTAGAAAGTACAGGTATTTGGGTTCAACATGTAAGAAGTAGAAAGTACAGGTATTTGGGTTCAACATGTAAGAAGTAGAAAGTACAGGTATTTGAGTTCAACATGTAAGAAGTAGAAAGTACAGGTATTTGGGTTCAACATGTAAGAAGTAGAAAGTACAGGTATTTTGTGTTCAACATGTAAGAAGTAGAAAGTACAGGTATTTGAGTTCAACATGTAAGAAGTAGAAAGTACAGGTATTTGTGTTCAACATGTAAGAAGTAGAAAGTACAGGTATTTGGGTTCAACATGTAAGAAGTAGAAAGTACAGGTATTTGTGTTCAACATGTAAGAAGTAGAAAGTACAGGTATTTGTGTTCAACATGTAAGAAGTAGAAAGTACAGGTATTTGTGTTCAACATGTAAGAAGGTAGAAAGTACAGGTATTTGAGTTCAACATGTAAGAAGGAGAAAGTACAGGTATTTGGGTTCAACATGTAAGAAGTAGAAAGTACAGGTATTTGTGTTCAACATGTAGAAGTAGAAAGTACAGGTATTGAGTTCAACATGTAAGAAGTAGAAAGTACAGGTATTTGGGTTCAACATGTAAGAAGTAGAAAGTACAGGTATTTGTGTTCAACATGTAAGAAGTAGAAAGTACAGTATTTGGGTTCAACATGTAAGAAGTAGAAAGTACAGGTATTTGTGTTCAACATGTAAGAAGTAGAAAGTACAGGTATTTGTGTTCAACATGTAAGAAGTAGAAAGTACAGGTATTTGGGTTCAACATGTAAGAAGTAGAAAGTACAGGTATTTGAGTTCAACATGTAAGAAGTAGAAAGTACAGGTATTTGTGTTCAACATGTAAGAAGTAGAAAGTACAGGTATTTGGGTTCAACATGTAAGAAGTAGAAAGTACAGGTATTTGAGTTCAACATGTAAGAAGTAGAAAGTACAGGTATTAGAGTTCAACATGTAAGAAGTAGAAAGTACAGGTATTTGAGTTCAACATGTAAGAAGTAGAAAGTACAGGTATTTGTGTTCAACATGTAAGAAGTAGAAAGTACAGGTATTTGAGTTCAACATGTGAGAAGTAGAAAGTACAGGTATTTGAGTTCAACATGTAGAAGTAGAAAGTACAGGTATTGGGTTCAACATGTAAGAAGTAGAAAGTACAGGTATTTGTGTTCAACATGTAAGAAGTAGAAAGTACAGGTTTTTTGGGTTCAACATGTAAGAAGTAGAAAGTACAGGTATTTGTGTTCAACATGTAAGAAGTAGAAAGTACAGGTATTTGAGTTCAACATGTAAGAAGTAGAAAGTACAGGTATTTGTGTTCAACATGTAAGAAGTAGAAAGTTCAGGTATTGTGTTCAACATGTAAGAAGTAGAAAGTACAGGTATTTGGGTTCAACATGTAAGAAGTAGAAAGTACAGGTATTTGTGTTCAACATGTAAGAAGTAGAAAGTACAGGTATTTGGGTTCAACATGTAAGAAGTAGAAAGTACAGGTATTTGTGTTCAACATGTAAGAAGTAGAAAGTACAGGTATTTGGGTTCAACATGTAAGAAGTAGAAAGTACAGGTATTTGTGTTCAACATGTAAGAAGTAGAAAGTACAGGTATTTGGGTTCAACATGTAAGAAGTAGAAAGTACAGGTATTTGTGTTCAACATGTAAGAAGTAGAAAGTACAGGTATTTGAGTTCAACATGTAAGAAGTAGAAAGTACAGGTATGTGTGTTCAACATGTAAGAAGTAGAAAGTACAGGTATTTGAGTTCAACATGTAAGAAGTAGAAAGTACAGGTATTTGTGTTCAACATGTAAGAAGTAGAAAGTACAGGTATTTGAGTTCAACATGTAAGAAGTAGAAAGTACAGGTATTTGGGTTCAACATGTAAGAAATAGAAAGCACTGGTATTTGAGTTCAACATGTAAGAAGTAGAAAGTACAGGTATTTGTGTTCAACATGTAAGAAGTAGAAAGTACAGGTATTTGTGTTCAACATGTAAGAAGTAGAAAGTACAGGTATTTGAGTTCAACATGTAAGAAGTAGAAAGTACAGGTATTTGTGTTCAACATGTAAGAAGTAGAAAGTACAGGTATTTGTGTTCAACATGTAAGAAGTAGAAAGTACAGGTATTTGAGTTCAACATGTAAGAAGTAGAAGTACAGGTATTTGTGTTCAACATGTAAGAAGTAGAAAGTACAGGTATTTGTGTTCAACATGTAAGAAGTAGAAAGTACAGGTATTTGTGTTCAACATGTAAGAAGTAGAAAGTACAGGTATTTGTGTTCAAAATGTAAGAAGTAGAAAGTACAGGTATTTGTGTTCAACATGTAAGAAGTAGAAAGTACAGGTATTTGTGTTCAACATGTAAGAAGTAGAAAGTACAGGTATTTGGGTTCAACATGTAAGAAGTAGAAAGTACAGGTATTTGAGTTCAACATGTAAGAAGTAGAAAGTACAGGTATTTGGGTTCAACATGTAAGAAGTAGAAAGTACAGGTATTTGTGTTCAACATGTAAGAAGTAGAAAGTACAGGTATTTGTGTTCAACATGTAAGAAGTAGAAAGTACAGGTATTTGTGTTCAACATGTAAGAAGTAGAAAGTACAGGTATTTGTGTTCAACATGTAAGAAGTAGAAAGTACAGGTATTTGTGTTCAACATGTAAGAAGTAGAAAGTACAGGTATTTGGGTTCAACATGTAAGAAGTAGAAAGTACAGGTATTTGAGTTCAACATGTAAGAAGTAGAAAGTACAGGTATTGTGGGTTCAACATGTAAGAAGTAGAAAGTACAGGTATTTGTGTTCAACATGTAAGAAGTAGAAAGTACAGGTATTTGAGTTCAGCATGTAAGAAGTAGAAAGTACAGGTATTTGTGTTCAACATGTAAGAAGTAGAAAGTACAGGTATTTGTGTTCAACATGTAAGAAGTAGAAAGTACAGGTATTTGAGTTCAACATGTAAGAAGTAGAAAGTACAGGTATTTGGGTTCAACATGTAAGAAGTAGAAAGTACAGGTATTTGTGTTCAAAATGTAAGAGGTCAAAGTAAAAAGTCGTCAGAAAAATAAGTAGTGGAGTAAAGTACTGATACCAGAACAATGTACTTAAGTACAGTAACAAAGTATTTGTACTCCACTACTTCCCAGAGTATTTTTAAACATGAGTATCTGTACTGGAGTAAAGGATGTATGTACTTTTGCCATCTCTGGTCCTCCAGCTTGAAGCTCACCTGTGGACAGGTTGATGTGATCGAGGGTCCTGGTGGAGGTCAAAGCGCTCTCCGTGAACCCGTGCCCCACAGATCCGTATTTGTCGAGCAGGCAGGCGGACACGGACATCTGCCGGACCTCCGCCTCGCTGTGGTGCAGCAGCTTCACCACCAGGATGGACTTAGTGAGGCTCAGCATCAACATGGCCATAGACACCGCGAAGAACACGCCTGCAGAGTTTAGTTTATTTGTTTATCGTGTCGTGGACAGTCCCCATTGATCGACTGTCACAAATAACAGTAAATGGAGCAGCTTTAGCCGACATTGCTAAACTCCAGCTGTTGTCCGCGGACAGATGATAATAGACACCCTTAAAATCACAATAAAAAGAGAAACAGAGGAGAGACAATAACCAGAGTGATGCATTATTAATATTCAGAACTTAGATTAGATGTGCTTTAATGATCTCAGGTTTGGAAACCACATATTCACAATGACAACAAAACTGATGCTAATACTTAATAATTTGTTTTAATAAGAAAATGTAGAGAAAATATACAGGATCATTAATTATCCACGAAATTTCAAAACTCTTCCTAAGATTAAACATTACGGTTATGTTCTTTTGAAATGAATATCAACTTGTTTTATTAACTTTGTTACAGAAACCACTAAACCACTGTTTCCTGCAAGTAAATGCTCGAAAAGACAGTATTTTTAATTTGGAAGTAATGTTGGAGTTGTTTCCTCTTGTATCAGTCATGATTGATTTGCACTGAAAGTAACTGAGCAATGTGGAAAATAACTTCACTGATTGCCTTTGTTATTTGTTCAAAATAAGCTTGGCCCAATGTTAATTTAAGAACTCTTCCTAAGTTAAAACATAATAGCTTTCTTTAAAATGTATCTTCTATTCTTTGCATTATCAATCAATCAATCAATCAATGTTTATTTATAACCCAATATCACAAATGCTACATTTGTCTCAGTGGTCTTCACAGTTTGTACAGAATATAAGTATAACAATACGACACCCACTGTCCTTAGACCCTCTGTCCTTAGACCCTCTGTCCTTAGACCCTCACATACTTGAGGTCTCTCATTTTGAACTTCGGAGTAATGTTGTCAGTAGTTTAGGATTAAGCTCAAATGTTCACAAAAACAATCCTATGAATATTAAAATCTCTAAATGTTTTTGGAGCTGTGCTGAAATGAATGTAACCTTCCTGTTGTCCTTGGGTCAAATTTGACCCGTTTCCCAATTATTTTATCCAAATTGATAGCATAGCAGATTTGTAGAATTAGTCAACATTTTTGCCTTTTTTTAAACTCAGAATTTAGGTTTGAATTTGCGTAAATGAAGTCTATTGACTGTACATTTTTGAAAAGAAGAGTAACTCTTAAATCGGAGTAAAGTGTGCTCAAAAGGTGCTACACAGATTTGCGTAATTATTTATACTATATGCTTTAAAAACAACCCTGAGGACAAAAGTTGCACAGTTGATAGGAAGACAACCCAAGGGTTAATAAATACGGACCAATGAGCGGCGTCCTGAGCGCGGTGTGGGGCAGCTCGTCCGTCAGGTTGACTCTGAACACGGTGTATCCCAACAGGATGCTGATCTTAAACACGATGCGGGTCCCGCTGTCCAGAGGCAGATAGAAGCTCGTCACGTCCACCAGCATCAGGAAGATACTGGGGATCAGCAGGCCCACCACGTACAGCAGGGGGCGCCGCCGGATCAGGACCTGAGGGGAGGGGGGGAATAAGGAACACAGAAAGAAAGAATTAAGAAAACAGACATCAATACAAAAAGGAGAAAAAGACAAAGAATCAAGAACGATTGGGAAAGATTAAGTATTTTTTTGTATTAAGAGGAAATAATTAGAAAGATTTAATCAAGCAAAAAAAATGGAAGAATTAATTCAAAGAAAAATAAATAATTGAAATAATAGTAGAAATGTAAATGAAAATGATAAAAAAAAAAGAAACACTTACTTAATATATATAATTTATGTAAAAGCAATTAAGAAAACTTTTCAAGAAGACATAAGAAATAATTAATACATATACAATAAAAAAGAAATAATTTAAATGCTTAAAGAAAAGCAAATGATAAAGTTAAAAAATATATATTCAACAAAGAAATAAATGAATAAAATATCAACAAAGTGAAAATCAAGAAAGAAACAGAAAGTGAGATTTGGAATATCAGACTTTTACTAGCAATGGAGTATTTTGACATCTATGTATCGGTACATATACTGAAGTACACGCTCTGAATCTTCTTCCATTAGCAGAAAGCCTTTCGCTCTCTGAGCTGCATGAATAGCTCCCTGCTCTCCACCTGCACTAACAAGCAGTCCATTGATTAGGAGCCACTGAGACAGTCTCATTATACCCCCCCCCCCCCCCCCATCCCCATCCCTCTTTATCTGTCTCTTTACTTGCCAGAAACAGCCCCCCCCCCATCATCTGGCGTTAGCTCACTATCCTGATCCATGAAGGCCAATTGCTTTACACTTTACTGCTAACCCTCAGAGGGCAACAGTTAAAAGCTCGCCATCGATAAGCAATCACTGCAACGTGCTCACTGGTGTATCACACAGAGAGCTGCAGGAATGAGTCCTAAAACCTAGGAATGAGTTTGTCACAGTAGAGCGAAGGAAGCAGGACCCAAATGCAGATTAACCTGATATACCTTTATTTCAAGGATAATGAAAAATAGAACTAGGACAGACAGAACACTCACCGGTGAACACAGTCAACAACGAAAGACGAACCGACAAAGACAGACAGAAAAACCAGAACTTAAATACACACAAGACTAATCACACAAACAAGACACAGGTGAGGAGGGAGGAGAAAACACAGGGGCCACAGGTGAACACAATCGGGTAATCAGACACACCAGGGAAACTAACGACAGGGAACCACAGACAGATCCAAACAAGACAAAACACAACGCAGAAAGAAAACCAAAAACAGATCTAGACAAGACACCACAAAGACAGATCGTGACAGTACCCCCCCCCTCAAGGGACGGATCCCAGACGTCCCAAAAAAAGAACACAAAAGTCCAAAGCCTCAAGCAGGGTGGGTGGAGGGGGTCCGGAGGAGGGACGTATCACTAGGCCACCAGGGTGGGTGGAGGGGGTCAGGAGGACGGGACTGAGCTGACCGCCCAGAGGCACAGCAGAGGACCAGGAAGGGATCTCGGGCGGACGGCCCGGGGGCAAGGCAGAGTTCAAAAAGGGGGATTCGGGCAGACGGCCCGGGGGCAAGGCAGAGTCTAAGGTGGGGGGACTCGGGCGGCCGAGCATGAGGGCGAAGGCAGCGGCAGGAAGAGTCAGGGGGCCGGGCTCGAGGACGAGGGCAGCGGCAGGAAGAGTCAGGGGGCCGGGATCGCGGGCGAAGACCACGGCTCACAGAGAGCCGGGATCGAGGGCGAAGACCGCGGCTCTCAGGGGGCCGGGATCGCGGGCGAAGACCACGGCTCACAGAGGGCCGGGATCGAGGGCGAAGACCGCGGCTCTCAGGGGGCCGGGCTCGAGGGCGAAGACCGCGGCTCTCAGGGGGCCGGGCTCGAGGGCGAAGACCAGAGAGCTCCGGAGGCCGGGCAGGAAGGCGCTGACGGGCCAGCGCCGGAGGCCGGGCAGGACCCGGTGTCGGCCGGACAGGAACCGGAGCTGGTGGGACAGGCCTCGGCAGGATCCCCCACGGAAGAGGACCAGGACACGGGATTGGCAGGACCCCCGGCGAGACAGAGGATGGCGGGGCCTCCAACGGAACAGGACAAGGGGTTGGCAGGACCCCCGGCAGGAGAGTAGACGGCGGGACCTCCAACGGGACAGGACATAGGGTTGGCAGGACCCCCGGCAGGAGAGTAGTCGGCGGGGCCTCCAACGAGACAGGACAAGGAGCTGGCAGGACCCCCGGCAGGAGAGTAGACGGCGGGACCTCCAACGGGACAGGACAAAGGGTTGGCAGGACCCCCGGCAGGTGAGTAGTCGGCGGGGCCTCCAACGGCACAGGACAAAGGGTTGGCAGGACCCCCGGCAGGAGAGTAGTCGGCGGGACCGCCAACGAGACAGGACAAGGAGCTGGCAGGACCCCCGGCAGGAGAGTAGACGGCGGGACCTCCAACGGGACAGACATACGATTGGTAAGACCCCCGGCAGAGGAGTAGTCGACGGGGCCTCCAACGGGACAGGACATGGAGTTGGCAGGACCCCCAGCGGAACCTCCAACGGACCAGGACATTGGGTAGGGACTTGAGACGTGACTCGAGAGGGGACTCGAGAGGAGACTAGAGGAGAGACTAGAGGAGGGACTAAAGGAGGGAACTCGAGAGGGGACTCGAGAGGGGACTCGAGAGGGGACTCGCGAGGGGAACTAGAGGACGGACTAGAGAGGGGACTAAAGGAGGGACTAGAGAGGGGACTAGAGGAGGGACTAAAGGAGGGAACTGGAGAGGGGACTCGAGAGGGGACTCGGGTAGGAACTTGAGAGGTGACTAGAGAGGGGACTGGAGAGGGAACTGGAGAGGAGACTCGAGAGGGGACTCGAGAAGGGACTGGAGAGGGGACTCGAGAGGGAACCTGAGAGGAGACTGGAGAGGGGACTCGAGAGGGAACTCGAGAGGGGACTTGGGTAGGAACTGGAGAGGGGACTCAGGTAGGAACTTGAGAGGGGACTCGGGTAGGAACTTGAGAGGGGACTTGAGAGGGAACTTGTGTCGGTCGGTACGCCGACAGGACACGGGGAGCTGGCGTCGTCTGGGGAGCCAGCAAGAGACGAGGTGCTGGAGTCGGCCGGTACGCCGACAAGACTCTGGGAGCTGGCGTCGGCTGGGGAGCCAGCAGGAGACGAGGTGCTGGAGTCGGCCGGTACACCGACAAGACTCGGGGAGCTGGTGTTGGCTGGAGAGCCAACAGGAGACGAGGTGCTGGAGTCGGCCGGTACGCCGACAAGACTCGGGGAGCTGGCGTCGGCTGGGGAGCCAGCAGGAGACGAGGTGCTGGAGTCGGGACCATGACTGCTGGAGCCGGTACTTGAGCCGGAACCATGGCTGGAACTGGGGCCGGAACCATGGCTGCTGGGCCCGGTACTTGAGCCGGAATCATGGCTGGAACTGGGGCCGGAACCATGGTTGTATGGGCCAGCTCTGGTGCAGGGACCACGGTTGTAAGATTCAGTTCTGGAGCCGGAAACATGGCTATAAGGTCCGGAGCTGAAGCCTGGATCATGGCTGTGTGGGCCGGTTTTGGAGCCGGAAACATGGCTGCTGGGGCCGGCACTGGAGCCGGAACCATGGCTGCTGGGCAAGGAACCGGAACACGAATCCATGGCTGTGTGGGGTGGTACTGGAGCACGGTACCATGGCTATGTGGGATGGTACTGGAGCACGGTACCATGGCTGCTGGGTCCGGCACTGGAGCCGGAACCATGGCTGTTGGGGCCTGTACTGGAGCCGGAACCATGGCTGCTGGGGCTCGGGCTGCTAGCCTGGCCTTGCGACGACTCCTCTTAGCAGCCTCCTGAATACTCCGTGGACCTCCATAAGCCTGACGAGTTCCGGAATACGACTCCTGGACAGGAGCAGGAACTGGGGCAGAAGCACGGGTTGACTTCAAGCGGAACCCACCAAGGCGTATGGGGCCAGGTTGGGAATTGGGAGACAGGGAGCTAGCATGCCTGGAATCACATGCTTGAAGGAAGTCCAAAATCCAGCCAGGTAAAAACTCAACAAAACATGGTTCTCTGCTGCCAACCGGAGCGCCTCTACCAGAGCGGCCCTCTTCTGCCGAACACTGGATGCTCCCTTCCACCAATCGAAGCAGCAAGCCAGATAGAAAGTTAAATGCTGTAATTCAACCTCCCATGGATCATCTGCTGGGTCCATTTTGTGGTCGGTTCGTTCTGTCACGGTAGAGCGAAGGAAGCAGGACCCAAATGCAGATTAACCTGATATACCTTTATTTCAAGGATAATGAAAAATAGAACTTGGACAGACAGAACACTCACCGGTGAACACAGTCAACAACGAAAGACGAACCGACAAAGACAGACAGAAAAACCAGAACTTAAATACACACAAGACTAATCACACAAACAAGACACAGGTGAGGAGGGAGGAGAAAACACAGGGGCCACAGGTGAACACAATCGGGTAATCAGACACACCAGGGAAACTAACGACAGGGAACCACAGACAGATCCAAACAAGACAAAACACAACGCAGACAGAAAACCAAAAACAGATCTAGACAAGACACCACAAAGACAGATCGTGACAGAGTTAGCAGCACTTCCTGTTCCTTCGTCTGGAAGTTAAAGGTCCCCTGTTATACTGTGGTATAAAATAAATGTCATGTCAAAATCAGTGTAGAAACCATCCTACAGTATGAAGGCTTTTCACTTTTTGAAAGGAAGGAGAAAGCTAAGAGTAATTCAGTTTTGAGTCCTAAAACCCAGGAATGAGTGAGCATTTTAGCACTTCCTGTTCCCTCGTCTGGAAGTCAATGGTTTTTTGAATGTGTTTTTTGTTGTTAACCTGAAACAAGGTCTGTTGAAAAATTGCGCCGATGATGATCTCTTTGGCTCGTCTCCAACTCTGCCTTTTTTTCGTATTATTTCAGTGTTTGTTTCTATTTTATTTGTATTTACTTGCACTATGTTATCTGTTTTATTGTGTTCGCTGTTGGAGGAGCCTGGTACCTAAGATTTTCATTGACATATCTACACTGTAGCTACTGTATGTATGACAATAACAGCCTTGAATCTTGAATCGTGGTTAACACAAGATTTTCTGTTTAAAAAAAGTCAGTAAATACCCCACTGGTGAATTCAAAAAGGCGGTTGCTAACAAGTGTCTAAATGAGACGACCAAATGTCATCACGCCCAACGTTACACATAAGGACAACGCGTACGTTGAACTGGAGTTGGGCGTAGTCGGTGTCGTCCTGGTGGATCAGCCAATAGCTGGAGGGGATGGACAACAGTTCCCATTCTCCGTCATTCATGAACTTCCTCTTGTCGTTAGCGATGGCCTCGGCGCTCCTCCACAGAGCCAGGTCTATTTCCTTCACTGTCAGAGGGAGAGAGAGAGAGGAAAAGTATGAGGTGGCTTACATTTGGAGATGCATTTCTGGTAAACTGACCTAACTTTATTCTATGATGTAGCTTGTTGAATGCTCTTGAAGGAACCTTTAGTTAAGTTTGGTCATGCTCCCCATTAGCTTTTCTTTTTTAAAGCAGTTGAACCAAAATCCTGTTCCTCATAGGTATGGTAATGTTGTATTGTGGTAATGTTGTATTGTTTTGTAAGCGTGTTCAAAAGTATATTATACTTATACTGTTATTTGTGATTGCACCATCGGGAATGCTTGGAATTTCGCTGTACTCTGTGTAGTGACACTAAAGGAATCTAATCTAATGACAACTCTCCTCCGCAAAGATGTTTATTCATGTATCTCAGAGACTGACCTGAGTGCAGCCAGCTGCGGAAAGTCAGGCTGCAGTTCTGCTTGTCGAAGGGGAAGGCGTACATCTCCAAACTGCAGGCCAGAACCACCTGCATGGGCCGGTAGTTCTTCACCATCCCTGACGAGTTCACGTACACGTAGGGGATCGTGACGGGCTTCCCCTCGTCCACACTGAGGACACAGGAAGGAGAGGCGAGGAGAATAAGATAAGGGTTGGGAAAATAGTTAATATACGCTTCCAATATGAGAGTAACATGATAACAAAGGTATCAACTGAAGCTGTGAACATGACAGGATGTGTGATTACCTAGAAGAGCATCAGGACTGTTTGAGGCATATGATAGCTATGTGATTAACATGATGATTCAGCCTCTATGGAGAGAGACATCAAGCATGCTCATTTCTGACGTGGAGCTAATCTGAAGTAAACATTGAATACTGCTTTCTATTCCTCCATCTTGTGACTGTGTAACTCCCTCTCTTGGATATCAGCATGTGAAGGACACTGTTCAGGAACTAGTTGATGCTCGGTATGTGATGACTACTTCCATTCTGGAGAGGATCACAGACACATGGATCCTGAGGTTGAAGCTCAAGCCGGGGACGAGTGATACTTTTCTAACAGAATATAAGGAGTACTTTATTTGGGAAATGATTTTGTTGCAGCAGCATAAAAAGAAATGGCACTGTACAATACAAATGTAAAGACTAGAAATAAACAAGAAAGTAGAAAATATACTTGTTGAATTAGAAAATGTACAGTAACAAATATAAAGCAAGTTATTATATATACATAAGTATGTGAGGCATGGAATATTAAATGTTAAACTGAATACATAAATGTAAAATGTACGTAATGAGTAGAAGAAGTTGAATACTGAAGGAAACTGTAAAATGAGAACGAATTGTAATTTCTTACAATTCACTAATGATGACGTCAGGTGTCCAGATGGCGTCAGAGGACAGAGAGATTTCATTAATACCATCAAACTCCTCCGGGTCCCAAACCAGGAACTCATCCGTCCAGATCTGAACAATTATATCATTTATGGATTAGCAAACATTTAAAAACACCATCAAGTCCTAAACAATAAACTGGATGTAATTGATCAAGTGTAATCCAATCTTTAAATCAATACAATTGAGCTGTTTCATTTCTATAATATGGATTTTATGAAGGAGAAAAGTGTTTGTTACACGAGAAACAAAAATAAACGTGTACCTGTCTGTACCAAATACTGGTGGTTATGCTCTGCGTCTTTCCATCCTGCGGGGAAACGAGAAAGTTCAAGTTGTAGCCAATACATTCATGTATTTTAAAGGGGACCTATCATGCAAAATGCACTTTTTGATGTCTTTTCTACATAAACATGTGTCCCCGGTGTGTCGGGGAACTCACGCAGCGTCATCAAATAAAACCCTCTCTCTTTTCCTCCGTACACAAATCTCTAAAAACGGGGAACAACGGAGCTGATCCAGATTTGCGTCCGATATGACGTAATATCTGAAATGTGGACCCACGGCCCGATCAGAAACGTTGCTATCAGAAACAATGGCCGACTGTTTTGGACGTAATATGGTCTGTGTTTACATTAGCATCGCTAACACTCAGAGCTAACCTGTACTGGAGAGCATGTGTGTGAAGAAGCAGGAAGTAAAAAGGAACTCACCTTGTGGTATAACCGGCAAGAGAGAAAGCCTTTGAGCTCCAGACTGTTTCAGAGAGAATCCTTGATAATCCATGATATGGCGTTTCATCACGGCAGAATTTAGTTTAGACCAGGGGTGGGCAACCTCTGGCACGCTGCACCGTAACCAGTGGCATGCTAGGAATAAGTGTGCAAAATATTTTTTTTTTTTAAATCGGATCCTGAACGAGACCGCCGCCAGAGCGCGTCTCCCCGTTACCTGCAGAAGGAGCATGCACGCAGCGCAGCCCCGCTCTCTTTATCTCCAGGTGACTTTCTGCCGCTTTCCTCCGTGGTGCTGATCGTTTCACCACGGAGGAAAGCACTTCACTAATTGCAGTACCCATAAGGAACTGTGCAAAGGCCGCAGTTTTCACATGGCTGTGTCTTTAGTTGAAAGCCCAGTGGCGATCTGCTCATCTCTCATCGAAATAATATGCTACACAGGGGCGGACTGAACATCTGTGTGTTCTGGAGAATCACAGAACGGACGATCGTCCTTATTATTATGCCGTTCAAATCAATTATTAAAATGTATTTGTTAAATTCGGCATCATGTAAGTTGCGCTGACAGGTCCACACACTGCTTCCCCGCAGCGAGGCTCCCCCGTTAATTTTTATTAATGGCACTTCATATCAAAAAGGTTGCAGACCCCTGGTTTAGACAGTAGCTGCCGGGTCCCGCATGAGCTCAGCCCCCTCCTTTTCTTTTTATCAATTTCTTTATTTTGTAAAGCTTTATCCCCAAATCAGTTTGAAACAGGAAGTGAAATAGAGGGATATGAGGCATGGCTAGAATGATCTGTTTGGTATTTGGAGCAAAACACTTAATAGACATGTTTCTATATATTTTTATATATCTGAGACCTACCTTATGCTATTGCCTAAAAATAGCATGATAGGTGACCTTTGAGATAAGATTATAGAAGATACATGTGTTCAAAGGCCCATAGGGTGCATCAATTACAGTGGAACAGAGGGATATAAGAACAACCCAAATACAAATAACAAAAGGTCTAATTTTTCTCAAATTTGCATTTTTCGAAAACTAATATAATAATTTGAAAATTTATTAAATAATTATTAATAGGATTTATTTTATATTTTAAGCTCAAGTCTCGTTTGGCTGTGAGTAGATTATTGTTTAAAATATTGTTTTTATTATTGTTGTTTGGATCCCTAATGACCTATTAGTTTAAAAGGAAACCAGAACATTTCCCTCTTTTACAGCATGCAGCCAACGAGGTATTGTTGGTATTTACTTTGATTCACTCTGGGAAAAAGTTATCGTGCATGCTGTTCTTTATGTAATATGCTCTTTCTTTTACTGTTTAAAATGTGTGTTTACGAATATTCAAGGTTTTTTTAATAACATAAAACCTACAAGTAATCTGTATGTGGTTGCTTATTTAAAGCTATAGGTACTTATTGTTTTATTTTATATAATAGTTTTAACCACTTTATTCATCCGACTGTGTTTATACAGTATATGCACCATGTTCATGTGTTTTCGTGTTTCGCTCAAAATACCGAACAGATCATGCATTTTAGACATCCCTCATACCCCTCTGTTTCAGCCCTGTTTTCAAAAGGGCTGATTCTATGTCTGTAGATGTAAAGGTCCCCTATCATACTGTTTTTCATCAATATATCACAGGTCTCAGATATATCCAGAGCCTGTCTCTGATTGGCTGAAACACCAAACAGATCATGGCAGCATTACCCATAATCCCCTCTGTTTCAGCCCTGTTTCCAAAGTGCTGATTCTCTGTCTGTTACTTTAGATGAAAATAAGGAGCCCCTCCCCACGCCCCTCTGAGAGAGATTTGGTTACAAAGAACTCAATGGAGCTCTAGGAGGAGATTCAGGTGATAAGGGGGGGGGGGGGTTACCTTGGTTGCTGATTGGCTAATGGTTACACAAGACAAAACATCGTTATGACATCATAAAGTGGCCAAAATCTGATCAGCTCATTTTCAGACAGGTTTTTATAGAAATGGATCAAAAAGAGAGAGAATCTTTGTTCCTGAAACTTTCAGAGTCTCTTTCCACAGAGGGGACACATGTTGATGTAGAAGAGACATGAAGAAGAGGGGACACATGTTGATGTAGAAGAGACATGAAGAAGAGGGGACACATGTTGATGTAGAAGAGACATGAAGAAGAGGGGACACATGTTGATGTAGAAGAGACATGAAGAAGAGGGGACACATGTTGATGTAGAAGAGACATGAAGAAGAGGAGACACATGTTGATGTAGAAGAGAGATGAAGAAGAGGGGACACATGTTGATGTAGAAGAGACATGAAGAAGAGGGGACACATGTTGATGTAGAAGAGACATGAAGAAGAGGGGACACATGTTGATGTAGAAGAGACATGAAGAAGAGGGGACACATGTTGATGTAGAAGAGACATGAAGAAGAGGGGACACATGTTGATGGAGAAGAGACATGAAGAAGAGGGGACACATGTTGATGGAAGAAGAGACATGAAGAAGAGGGGACACATGTTGATGTAGAAGAGACATGAGGAAGAGGGGACACATGTTGATGTAGAAGAGACATGAAGAAGAGGGGACACATGTTGATGTAGAAGAGACATGAAGAAGAGGGGACACATGTTGATGTAGAAGAGACATGAAGAAGAGGGGACACATGTTGATGTAGAAGAGACATGGAGAAGAGGGGACACATGTTGATGTAGAAGAGACATGAAGAAGAGGGGACACATGTTGATGTAGAAGAGACATGAAGAAGAGGGGACACATGTTGATGTAGAAGAGACATGAAGAAGAGGGGACACATGTTGATGTAGAAGAGACATGAAGAAGAGGGGACACATGTTGATGTAGAAGAGACATGAAGAAGAGGGGACACATGTTGATGTAGAAGAGACATGAGAAGAGGGGACACATGTTGATGTAGAAGAGACATGGAGAAGAGGGGACACATGTTGATGTAGAAGAGACATGAAGAAGAGGGGACATATGTTGATGTAGAAGAGACATGAAGAAGAGGGGACACATGTTGATGTAGAAGAGACATGAAGAAGAGGGGACACATGTTGATGTAGAAGAGACATGAAGAAGAGGGGACACATGTTGATGTAGAAGAGACACGAAGAAGAGGGGACACATGTTGATGTAGAAGAGACATGAAGAAGAGGGGACACATGTTGATGTAGAAGAGACATGAAGAAGAGGGGACACATGTTGATGTAGAAGAGACATGAAGAAGAGGGGACACATGTTGATGTAGAAGAGACACGAAGAAGAGGGGACACATGTTGATGTAGAAGAGACACGAAGAAGAGGGGACACATGTTGATGTAGAAGAGACATGAAGAAGAGGGGACACATGTTGATGTAGAAGAGACACGAAGAAGAGGGGACACATGTTGATGTAGAAGAGACATGAAGAAGAGGGGACACATGTTGATGTAGAAGAGACACGAAGAAGAGGGGACACATGTTGATGTAGAAGAGACATGAAGAAGTGCATTTTGCACGATAGGTGACCTTTCAAGTTGGATGTGTTGTGTTTTTCTCACCACTTCCAGCACGGACTGCAGCAGCAGGTCGATGTACACGGTGGTGATGCTCGTCCAGTTGTTCACGGGTCGGACCCCACAGTCATATTTCCTGAGGAGGGTCCGGGTCAGCTGGTTCAGAGCCGACCTCTTGGGCTTCTCTGGGATCCCCTCAGCCAGAGGAGCTGGGGAACACAAAACAAAGACACAGTAAAAACTTAGCAGAGTGTGTACAGAGGTACCTTTTAGTAAAGTATAATCACCACAGTGTCGAAATACAGTAATAGTAGTCCTGCATTCAAAAAAAGTAAATGGCATCAAAATGTAGTTAAAGTATCAAAACTAAAAGTACTTATTGTGCAGAATGGCCCATTTCAGAATCATGTATACACAGAGTTATTATATCAACCAAATACCCTGACCTCGGTGCAGAATTGGCTTGATGCTTTCACAATGTTTACACGATGATATTTTGATTAATAATCATCATTAATTTGGTTTTAATGGCTAAGCAGTAGTGGACAAAAGTAATCAGATCCTCTACTTAAGTCAAAGTACTAATATCACAGTCTATACAGAAGTATTATCAGCTAAATGCACTCAAGTATCAACAGTAAAAGTACTCACTGTGCGGAAGTGTTGTATCATTATGGAATATTATATTATTCAATTTTTATCATTATAAAATACATATAAGTGTTTTTTAATGTTGAAATGTGTCAATAAGTGGCACATTTTGTAGAAGTAACGAGTGCATTGATAACATTAACACATATTTGTCAAATGTAGACAAGAGCCTTATACAATGTAAAGATATTCACAACCTAAGACAATATGTAGCCAGATGTTACGATATAGATTAAATATATGAACATTTCCCAGCCTGACCTGCAGATCATTCTTAGAGTAAGAAATGAAATTGTCTTACCTAGCAGTGTGAGCCAAATGAGAAACATGACGGGAAAACAAAGATCCAGATTTCACTTGAATTTCTGCCGGTTTGTTGACATAAAAATATCCACGATTTGAAGAGTAGCGTACGCTGTGTAGGGAAACAACAATGAAGGGCAGTGCAGACATTTTGGTTTCACTGATATCGATTTTCCCTGGGTAAGGTGATCCATCCCATAATGACTCCCTGGAGGTGTAGCTGCATTACAGAGGAGCATTTCAACTTCACTCTGTTATTGTAAAGGGGTTTCAACAAACGATCTAAACTTTCTAAACTACGCAATTCAGCATTAATACCTTTTATTTGACATTGTGGATTGTGAGTGTTATTTTATTTGCCACGGTACAAATTCCATTACTTGTACATTTAATGGACAATAAAGTGTTTTGAATCTGAATATATTATAATTGTATTTATTCTATTCTATTTGACTTTTACTGGACATTTTACTTCAACTTCTTATGTTTATATACATATTTCGATTTTATTTGTTATTGCACAATCTTAATTTAACTTACTTCTTAATAAATATACATTTTTCTGTCTTTTATTTCATTTGAAAGACATCAACATACATTTTAACCCATAAGGACCCACCGTGACACGGGTATCACATGCACTTTAAATGTTCTGGAAAGTCCCTCAGTGACACACACTGAACAGTCTGCTGGGTCCTGGTCCAGGTCATGTGATTTTGTGTTCCCATAACAACATGTCCAAGATGTCCATGTGCCAGACATGTGACATAACTAGCTACAATTCAAAAGCTTTTTTTGTTGTTGCTAAAGGTCAAATTCAAGCCATTTAAGAATTAAAATGCTTACATAACATGTCCTTTATTACATTTAACCTGTTGTGGAAACATTTATTGATCAAATTGATATGAAACAAATGAGATAAATATCGCTGTGACACAGATCATTGGGACTTTAACCCTAAACGTTCACAGTAAACCCGGGGTGACATATATGCACAATTATAAATATTATTATGATCTGCTCAGTTAATTTAGCTGATTCAATTATATTTAGTTAATATGTTCTTATTCTTCAATTCAAAGAATGTTCAAACTAATTTAAACCAAAAAATCATACTCATTAATTAAGTTAAAAATAAGAGTTATTTTACCATTAAAGCCCAATGTGACATTTCACACTAGGGGGTTTCTTGTCAGAAATGTGTTCTAGGTGGTCTATGTAGTCTAAATTACGTTTCCCCTTAATTTCCCCAAATGTAGAAATGGGTCCGGGTTCTTATGGGTTAAATTTGACAAAGTGTGTTTGTTTTTTTCAAATCATTTATTGTAAGGTATTAAAGCTGTAAGTTAGTATAGTGAGTAACACGTTTTACTCACTTTAAGTATTATAAAGTGGTAGTAGGCTACTAGTACAATACTTGAGTAATTGTACTTCCAACATTGAATAAAATACTTTAATACAAAGACATGAACATTACTATTTGTGTTGCATATATCTTTGTTAGAGCACTTCTCTATAAATACATTATTTACAAACCGGAAGTCTTGTGTCACAGTCAAATCTGTCCTGTCACGTCCGTCGCGACCGTTTCGTGCACGCGCGTGCTTTGACAGGTGAGCGCGCGCAGCTGGCCGGTTGCTCTCGCGGACTGACAGATGGAGTGGTTGCAGTGACTCGCGCTCGGACTCAAAGCAAAGAAATTGTTTTTATTGAAAAACAGGAGGAAATCAGTTTTAATTTAATCTGCAATGAGAGGGGAACAGATCGAGAATGGAGAGAACTCAACAAACTCGGTGAGGATTAAGGAACTAACGTTACAATATAACACGAGGAACTAACGTGAACACTAACCCCTGTCCAAACCACACACTGTATAACTAACGGTCCAAACCTGTACTAAAAACCCTCAAAGATTCTTTTAACATAATTTAATAAAACACAAACATTTCAAACATCATAATATTTAGACAGGAATCTTACTAAGTAGATTCAGTGGAGTTTTCCATTTTCTCATTTAAAATGTTCAATTTAGGACTTTTACATGTCATGGAGTATTTTTAAGACTGTAGTATTAGTACTTGTATTAAAGCTTATTTTTGTAGCTTCTAAACTAGGGTCTAAATCCTGTAGGCTTAACTAAAATGCCCACTTTTAAAGTTATCTTCCAAATTATTTGATATTCACACTACTAAAAAACACCTTTAAACATTATCATAACATTGTACTTTATTTCATATTCATTACAACATGTATTTAATATGCCTAAACCTTGCAACTAATATACATGTGCTTCTATATGTGCACATTATGTATTCATATTATGCATTTATTTATTTTTACTTTAACATTGTTTATGTGAATTTACTGAAAACTCAATCACTTTCTTCATCTTTTCAATTTCTGGTTTGATGATTGAACTGTGACAATAACATTTAATATACATCTAAAATCAAATCCTAATATTCTGACTAGACTAGATTTGAATTAAGTACATATAAAATACACTTAACATGATTTCAATTAAATCGTATTTGTTTGTTATTAGCGAGCTCGCAGTTCATATTCCTTTAGCTTCTTAGCTGCGTGTTAGCTCGCTAACTTACTGCCATTTGGTTCATTTATCTAAAAAAAGGATGCCTATTTATTATCCAGTTACTATAGTAAACAAATGATAAAAAGCTTCACATCTTAAGTCTGATTTTAATATAATATTTAGACAAGATCGTATTTTATTAACATCTTATTTCATAAGTGTTGCTAGTAAGCTAGCTAGCAGGTAATTTATAAGCTAGTTTTTGGCTGCATATTTGCTCGCTGAATTTCTGACGTTTGTTTTTTAAAAAGCTAACTATTCCAGTTAATATAATAAACATATGCTGAAGTCAATGTTAACATCCTAAGGGTTATGTCGTCAGTTGCTTATTTTAAAGGACACTTCATAGCTGTATAACAAACATAAAAGCTTTTTATTTTTGACTTCTAACAATCAAAAAGAGGATATAGTTTGACAATTAGCCTATACTATAATAATTATATAATAACAATATAATATAATCATTTTGCTCTTTAGCCATCCACAAAAGTATCTTTATCAATAAGCCTTTATAATAATCATATTAGTATATTAAGCCAAATGATTTAATGTACTAATGACTCAACAGAATAACATTTGTTATTGTTTTACTGTTTGTATGATGTGTGTGTCCGAGTGTGTGTCCGTTTGAGTGCGAGAGAGAGAGAGACCCAGTGCCTTTGTCACTCGGGTCTGGTGGCATGGTGAGTGGAATGATAAACAGAGCCTGTGCTATCCATGTCAGCGGCCCAAAATAGAGGCTAACCAAGAGGGTCTCAGATAGCCCCCCGACTCCATATAAGTCTGCTCAGCCTGTGTGTGTGTGTGTGTGGTCTAGCATTACTATACTTGTGGGGACCTAAATCTGTTTACATAGTCACGTGTGGAGACTGGCTTCCCTTATGGGGACAAATTGGAGGTCCCCATGAGGGGAATCATTAATTTTAGGGTGAAGACTTGGTTAGGTTTAGGATTAGGATTAGGGTAAGGGTAAGGGTAAGGTTAAGGTTAAGGGTTAGGCATGTGTTGGTTATGGTTAAGGTTAGGATAAGTCTCCAGGAAATGCATGTAAGTCAATGTAATGTCCCCTGAAGTGGTGTATACATGGTATGTGTGTGTGTGTGTGGGGGGGGGGGGTACAGCAGGCTTTATATAGCGCCTCTCACTCAGCAGACTTGTGTTATTGCTATACTCATGATGCCTATGAAGTCAAAACATATGACGGCCTTTCTGAGTGTGTGTTTACAAATGTCTTCATGTTGCACACAACTGGTTTCCTTAGTATATTTGTTGTGTTGTTTTAAAGGGCACAGTAGGTTGACCGGGGGCGGTGGTGGCGAAGTCGATAGGGACTTGGCTTGGTAACTGGAAGGTCACCAGTTCAAGTCACGGCAAGACCAAGTGCTACCGAGGTGTCCCTGAGCAAGGCACCGTTCCCCACACTGCTCCCCGGGCGCTATTCAAAATGGCAGCACACTGCTCCTAACACTAGGATGGGTCAAATGCAGAGAAACAATTTCCCCACGGGGATTAATAATGTATATCATCATATCAAGTAGTTTATTTTACGTGTCTCTCAGCACTAGGTGACAATTCATTGATATTCAAGTCTTCAAACACTGCATTTATGGAACAGTTAGGGAAATATGCAGTGGTGGAAGTACATTTACTCAAGCATTGTACTGTGTAAACTTGAACTTACTTGAGTATTTGTCTCTTCATGGCACTTTATACTTCACTCCACTACAATTCAGAGTGATATTGTACTTTTTACTTATCTTACAGCATTAGTTAATTAACAAATTGAGAATTCTTCATAAAAACTCTTTAAATTATGACATTTTGATAGCTTATCAAATATTTAGTTTGGTTTTGAATCAAAGTAGCCAACACTTTATTGGACAGCTATTTAAAATACAATTAATTGGAATCGTTTACCTTTTACCTAAATAACAATTTCAATGCATTAAATGTACTTGTACCAGATTATTTTTGACAGTGTTGTATTAGTACTTTTACTTCAGTAAAGGATCATGAATACTTCCTGTTCGTCAGTGTAAATATGAAGCTTGTTAGCTTAGCTTTGAGGAAATACTGAAAACACTAGATCGACCAATCATCACCTCTGAAGAGTAAATATGAATATTTGCCATTTTAATTGCGGGTTATGTACTTGACTTTTCCTATAGCTTAAGACCCCATTTACACCGAAACGTAAACAAACCGATTCCATATCAAAAAAGTATTCCGTTCACACGGTAACGGCTCAATAAACGTGTCCGTCCACACGAGACCACTCGACCCGCTGGAGACGCTGTAGTACATATGCCGGGCCTGTAAGTGGCGCTGTACTTCCGCCACAAAATACACTAAAAGCAGCGAAGAAGACCCCCGAGCATGGTTGCCATGGTTGCCCTTCTGTTTATTCTCCGCGGTGGATTTAGCAACATGTAA